TTTCTGAAGTTTTCCTTTAAGATGTGATAGGGTGACTGTTTGGTGGAAGGGCATCACTAATTTATCCAGGTGATATTTTTCAAGAGGGTGAACATTTTGTAAATGATGATTATGAGATAGTGATAAATATGCATATATCTACAATAGTATTTTACAAGGTAGGCCACCATTGTGCCCCTCCTTGAAAACAAAGAAGCCGACCAACAATCAAAACCCCTCAAGGTTACCATGCAAAACGTACCACACATAATTTATTTTCTCCTGTTTCTTCTCTTCCATGTCCTTCTTGTGAACTGCATCAGCCCTTGACTGAGTTCAATATGAAGTTAGAAATTGGTGGAACACTTGGAGGTTAGGAGTTTTAAAAAACACTTTTTTTGTTGTTCCTTAGTTTTGGAAACACCCAGTTTTTAGGGCTGAACCAGACCAGGAAAGGAAAGAAATAGTTGAGATTTGTAGATCTCAGTGGTGGATGAGAGTTTTGAGACCGAGCTATTTTAAGAGGGTTGCATTCCGAACTGGAATTCCCCTAGTGGGATGTGAAAGTGGCGTTCTAGGATTCAAGACTGAATGGCAAGGGTTACCACTTGGAGAGCGGTTGAAGAAAACGACACGAAGTAAAAAGGTAGAAACGGTTATCTAAGTTCAGGAAAGTTTCCTGAGACAAATTTTGTTCTGTCAACCACTCTGGCTGATGGAGATGACAAACTAAGCGTCCCCAGAAGGGACTAGACTGCTTTAGGGCATGCTTTCTCATGTAACTCATCAAGGGAGAGCCAGAGAGACTGACAAAGAAGGGTATGTTTGGAAGAACATAGGCTTTATGTGGCGGTGATGTATTTGGCGTCAGAGCCTCTTTTCTGCTCTGCACTGTAGGTGAAATAAACTTAGAAAGAAAATGGCAGGGTGGAAGGCCTGGAGTTTTGGAAAAGCAGCCCTGCCATTGCCCTTGATGACCAGGAAGGCAGAACTGCCGTGGAGATGAACCTTCTGAACTGAAATAAGATGGCGAGGAAGGAACATAAATACCAGCTAGATAATTTTGAACATGCAACCCAACACTCCGCCCTAACAGAAAATAACAGATGAGCCCCAAACGAAACTGCTCAAACCTAAAAGTGATAGGTACAGCCCTTTGGAAACACGCAGTGACCACAGTGTTGGGAGATTTGGCTCTCAGTGAACCACCATTGAGCTGAGGGAGGGGAGACCTGAGTTCAGTGTCAGCCTGCGTCTATTCTTAGAGCTCAACTAGAGGACAGAGACGTGGATGAAACCACGCTCCTGATGTGGTGAGATGAAAGCCATGCTTGCCCCTTACGTTATTGTCATCATATGATAATACACTATTCATTTTTGTATGTGGTAAATAACAATGCTGACATGTTCACAAAATAATGCGAAGCATATGGGTCACAACTGTTTTTAAGTAAAAACTTCTCTAAGATTTATTTAGGCTCCTTAATTATAGAGTAGCTTGGGACACTGGCATGTGGTTTCAGTTTATGGTTATAAATGTTGGCGTTGGTGACGGTACGCGCTGATGTTGCCAGAGAGGAAGAACAAGATTGGGATGGGGGCTTGTGTCCTTCAGGGCCCACCCTCTGGTCGTTTCTTTAAGCTGTGAAGTCAAGATCTATGTTTATACGAAATAAGTGTGATGGCATTTATACTGTGCTTGAAATGGGTGTGCCACTAGTCCGAGCCAGTTTTCCTAGTGCTAAAGTACTTTAATTGGTAAATTTTTCCGGCAGTTTGAAATCAGAGCTCTCTAGAGTCCTAAAAGAAGAACGATTTCTTTTAGCCTTTATCTTACATTCAAGTGTACTGTCTATTAGATGAATCAAGTCCAGTTTTGGAGACAACAGTTAAGTATTTCTGTCTGGAGAGACAAGAAAAAAATAAGTGTTCAACTTAGGTATTTTGACTTCAAGTAAATCCATGACAGGGTAGGGTCATGGTGCTCTTCTGAAGCCGTGTGTGTGTGTGTGTGTGTGTGTGTGTGTGTGTGTGGTTATATATGGTTATTCTTCTTAGAAATAGGTTTGCATCGTTTGGGATCTAATAATAGTGTAATACATAAAGCTAAATTGTAATCTCAGGAGCATTTAACCAACCCATAAAGAGGTTGGAGAATATGCGTGGTTGGGGAGTCCATTTGTATTTGCCCTGATGTGCTTTCTGTTTCTTGCCAGTGATGGTTATGGTAGTGGCATCTCAAAACTATTGTCTGGAGGTGGAGGGAATGGGAGGGGAGGGAGGCAAATAAGAAAGCTAAGCAGTGCTTTCCTTCCCTGCATGAAGGTCATAGAAGAAATAGATTTCCTGTTTACCATTTTTCATAGAGCTCACTTCAGTAGTGACTTTGGCAATACTTGGAGCTACTCCACTCATTCCTCGTTCATAATTTGGTACTGGTGATGTCTCACATTTATAGCTCTGTGGATAGAAAGAAAGCCTATGCCCAGAGGATCTTATGCTCTGGTAGGGTATCTGAGGTGTGCACAACTAATTATAATACAGAAAGATTTGGACATTTATTCAGGGCTTTATCCCCTCTAAAGCACTTTTATACACTTTTATTTAATCATCTAAGCTAAAGTATGTGGCCCTATTTTCCATTTGTACATGAAGACACTGAAGTTCAGTCAGAGTGACTGCCTTGAGGTTACGTGGTTGTAAGTTGTGATACACAGTATTACTGAGATCCAGTTATGACCATTCAGAGGAAGAGGACGTGGCATCTCATGTCACCTCTCATCTCAGTTGGGTCATTTTTCTTTTTTCTTAAATTCTCACCTGAGGATATATTTTCATTGATTTTTAGATAGAGAGGGAAGGAGGGAGGGAGAGCGAGAGAAAGAAGCATTGATGTGAGAGAAAAGCATCGATTGATTGCCTCCCACACGACCCCAACCAGAACTGGGATCAAATCCCAGTTGAGGTACATGCCCTTGACTGTAATCCAACCTGCAACTCTTTGGTCTGCGGGCTGACACTAACCACTGAGCCCACCTGGCCAGGGCTGGATCATTTTTCTTTAGAGAGGCTAACACTGACTTCACAGAGCTGTTTCAAGGATTAAATCTGGTTATAAGTATGAGACTACCTTGCTCAGCTCCTGGCATATTGAAGGTGCTCAGTAAATTGTCAGCCTCAATGACTCCACACACTTTCTGAAGGAAAGCCACAGCCCTTGACCAAAGGGCTCGCTGTGGCCTGGTCGACCAAATTTAAACTCTGCCTATATCCCAGGCCTTCACCTGCCTCCAAACCGGCCTTCTCACGTGCACCCTTGTGGCCCCGTGGTCTGTCCAGGTGCAGAGGTGGTATAGCCCAGGGTCAAGAGCCCGGCCGCCAGTTCTGGCTCCACTGCGTCACACGGCAGAGTTACTTCACTTGTTGCCTTGGTTTCATCATCTGTAAATGGGATTAACAGTAGTTTATTTATAATAGTTATCTTGTGATTTTAAAAATGTGGCCCTGGCCAGTTTGGCTCAGCGGTTAGAGCGTCGGCCTGCGGTCCGGAGAGACCCGGGTTCGGTTCCTGCTAAGGGCACGTACTTCGGTTGCAGTTTGTCCCCGGCCCTGGTTGGTCGTGTGGGTGGCAGCCACTCGATGTGTCCCTTCACGTCGATGTTTCTCTCTCTCTCTCCCTCCCACTCTATCTGTACAAAAAATGTGAAAACATCCTCGAGTGAGGATTAAAAAAAATAAAAAATAAAAAAATAAAATAAAAATAAAAATGACTAAATGTGAAGGGCTCGGTGGGGCGGTGCCGGTGCACGGTCAGTGCTGCTGTTTTTCGCTCTAATAATTCCTGCTCCCCATCTCCTCCTGCCACTCCCCTGCTGGCCGCCCTGCAGTGTGGCTCCTGTCATCTCGGCTTCTCTTTTGGAATCCGCCCATTTATGTCATCACTCATCTGCCCCCGACTTCTGTTTGCCCTCTGGGAGCTCAGAGCAGCTCTTAACTCCTCGCCCCAGTTCTTACCTCAAAGCCTTGTGCCTCACCAGTGAATTCTTGTGGACTGTTTTTCCACCTTCTAAGATTCTTGGGGTCCCTGTCTGGCCGCAGTGCTTTGCACATCTTCTTTATCATTGCGTTTGTCTTGCTGGCTGTCTCTCTGTCTCTCTCTTGCCTGCGTTTGACTGAGAACTCGTCAAACTCTCTCTTGCCTGACTGCAGGGCTGGGTCTTAAGAGTCTTCACGTTCCCGGCACGTTCCTGATACAGGGGAGACTCTCAGTTAATACTTACTGATAAATTAAGTAAAAGGGAACTTTAACTAATTAAATACATGATCATTTTGTCAAAATTATTTTTCAGTTAAACTGGAGGGAGCAAAATTCATCCTATTAATACATTTTGAGGTGGGGAGAGTCAACAGGAGGTCTGGCCTGGCCTTCCTTGGCAGGAGCCTTTGTCATCCCAGGGGCTGGGGATGAACAAAAACCATGGCAGACCCACAGTCCCATTAGCCTCTGGTGGACCGTGCAGTTTCAGTTGTCTGTGAAGGCAATGACTCTGTGTTTAGCTTAGTGATGGTAATATCAGCTCTCTGGTATTTGATACCATTTTTCTCATGTTTGATCAGATTTTTTTTCCTTGTTATTTGGAAACTTCAGTGTATTGTCCTGAAAATCTCAGCATGACCCAGTTGTGGACGTGTGATGTAACATTTTTCTCCTTGCTTCTCTGAATTGCCTAGATTTTAATAAATTGAGCCATAAATATAACGTGTGTTAAATAAAGCATAGCTGTAGAGTACAATAAATCAGTCTTGTTTTGGTTCGTTGAGCATGCATGGGAAAAGGTGACATGGGCCACACAGGATGGACAATTGATTGATTTACTTTAAGAATTTGAAGGAAATAAAATGTGACGTCTCAGCTTTCTGTCTAAAACACACCGATGGCCTTTAAGGAGCCCGTAGTTGCATTTGATAAACACATAATAGTGAACTGCATAGTAAGGTCTCTTTTCCATTGTCCCCTGTAGCTTTGCCCTGTCAGATGAAGCATACCGATCCCTGCGAGATCAAGATAAGGACCAGTGCATTCTCATTACTGGGGAAAGCGGAGCCGGAAAAACAGGTAAGACCACCACTGGACAGTCTCACCTTCTCCACCAGAAGGGGAATGCGGCACAGAATGACAGAAAGACCAGAGCAAAGGGCGGGTGCGGCTCAGTAGCATGAATCTGCACAGGGCCGCTGTGGACTCTTTTGCGGCAGGATGCTGAGGTCTTGGGACTATTTCCTTACTTGCTAAATAATCAGGGCTTTGGGACACCACAACCACAGCTTTTCTCTGCTAAAAAGTGAGTGAAGGCACCAGGAAAATGCTGCATTTCACTCTAGAGAAGTTTTCCTCTGAAGCCTAAAAAATTGAGATTTTTGAATATATTTTTAGATGGGCTGGCAAGATCCCTATAAAACAAACCCCAAATGGATGGATTGATTATGGGGTTTTTTCCCCTTGTGCTTTTAATAAAAGCAATTTGTATGATTGGTCGTCTTGAGTGTGAAAGTGTTTTCATAACTGTTTCATCTTCAAAATACTCTTTTTAAAGTTAAAGTCTAGTTGGCATACAACAGTATATTAGTTTCAGGTGTACATCATAGTGATTCTACATTTATATACCTTACGGTGTGATCACTTTGATATATCTAGTCACTGTCACCGTACAAAGTTAGGATATTATTGACTGTATTCCCTGCGCTGGACAGTACATCCCTGTGACTTATTCACAAAATGTTCTTGTGTTATAGCTGATTAATAACCTTGATTTCCCAATGATCAGTCAACTGAATCCATTTTGTTCATGAGCCCTTAGTAAGATTTGTGCCTTTAAAGTCTTACTATCTGCTTTGAAACGGCTTTTCCTTCTACACCTGTTTCTTCCTTCACATTCTTTAAGAATCTCTGCTCTCTGCCCCCGATGTAGCTGAAGAAAGAACCGTTAGATAAGCCTGTCCAGCTCCCTCCCCAGAGCCCTTTAGAGAGAGAGAGTACACTGTTTCTTTGTAAAGTTGTGCAGGTTCTGGGCTCTGGGTGGGCAGAAATGGGGAAGGACTGGCATGTAAGAATCGAAAGTCCTATATAATTGGAAGTGATTTAGTCATCGGCCATCTGGTGTGGGGTCCTCCCCAGGGATAGACACACTCCCTTTTTTGTAGTGATGGAGGACTTAATGCTTTGTAAGACAACCTATTGAATTTGTCATACAGGCTGGCTAACAAAAGTGCTTCTTACCCAGAGTTAATTCTGCCTCTAGCCATGGCTCTTAACTCTGTAGTCTGGAACCTATACCAAATTAGTCTACTTTCCCTTCTGCAGGACAGTCACTTACTTATTTGAAGTCATCCATCATATCTTCTAGAGCTAAAAATCCCTTTTTGAAAAATATTTCTCACTGTGATTAATATTCATTTATTCATTCATCTATCTAGGAAATAGTACCTGAGTACTGGGTGCTAGTACTAGGTACTAGTGATACAGAGCCAGACAGCATCTCTGTCTCTATCAAGTCTATAGTCTTGTAGAGGAGATAAATAATAGCTGCACACTACATAGGAATATACATCTAAATATATGCACGTATCATTTATATACAAAATGTTAAGTGTGTAAGTGAAGGAAAAGTACAGGGTGTTTATATGAGCATATAACCGCACGATCAAATCTCACTCCCAGATTCCTCACTATCATGGTCATATTTTTCTGGAATCATTCCCATTTGATTTTTCTCTTTACCCTCCTTCCCAAATTTATGATCTCAGTAATCAGGGCCATCAGTCCACCCAGTTTCCTAAGCTAGAAATGTAAGTATTGTCCTTGATGTTCTTGTTTCCTGCATCTCCCAGATGAGAACCATTTCTAATCTTGTCAGTCCCACCCTAGAATATCTCATGCCAAGTTTCTTACCTTTCTGTGTGTCCCCGTGGAGACTAGTCCAAGCCACCACCCATTACTTCCCTTGGGGACTATTTGTAGCCCTGTCGGCTCTCCCTCATGTAGCTCATGTTACTTTTCTTTCTTTTTTTATTTATTGATTTTTTTTTTTTTTTTGAGAGAGAAACATCAGTTGTTGTCCCACTTATTTATACATTCATTGGTTGATTCTCCTATGTGCCCTGACCAGGGTTTGAACCTGAAACCTTGGTGTATTGGGATGACTCAGTAGCCATCTGAGCTACCCAGCCAGGGCCTCATGCTACTTTTCACTAAAAGTCTTGCTCTCTCTCGTATATAGGCAATTTCATTATTTAGAGCTTCCCATCCCCTTTTAGATCATTCATCTGAATCTCTGCGTTTGGGCTCTTACCTGTATTTCCTCAGAAATTTTTGACTGTTCAGAGCTCCCCCTCACCCCCACCCCAGTAGACGCTTTAAGAGGATATCGGTGTCTTAGTGCAGGTTTCTGCCCCTTTTCTGTCACTGACCAGTTCTTTCTTATGAAACAGAATTAATTCTTAGAAGCAGTACCGCTTCTTATTTGATTCCAAGTTGAGCCACTGAAATGGAAACAGGGCAAGTAAAAAACTATGTCCCTTGACATACGGCAGTTGTATGGGTGGTGTGTCTCATGCCATCCACCCTCACCCCAGTGCTTTTTTTTATCCTCACCTGAGGACATTTTTGCATTTATCTTCAGATAGAGTGGGAGGGAGAGAGGGTGGAAGAGAGAGAGAAACATCGAGAGAAACATCGATGTGAGAGAGACACATCCAGTGGTTGCCACCCACAGGACCCCAACCGGGGTTGGGGACAAACTGCAACCAAGGTACGTGCCCTTAGCGGGATCCGAACCTGCGCCTTTCTGGTCCACACCTCACCCCAGTCCTTTTGACTGTATCTACAAGCCTTTCTTTTTTTCATGTATGAGGGAGGAAGAGATAAAAATATTCCTAAGCCTATTAATTTTTTTAGCTTTTACTCATTCTTCATCGTGACTAAAGATACACAAGGTATGGCAAAAGTAGGTTTACAGTTATGCGTATGGAAAATAATACAATAATTAATGAATAACAATGAAAATAATACAAGAACAAACTCTGTTTCATGTGCTCACAAGTGTAACCCTCCTTCAGCCCTGCCCTGTACTTTCTGAGGGTCTGGTTGTATCATTTGTTCCTAAATGAGTCATCAGATGTGGGTTGTGGTCGCTGGTTTGACTCGTCTTGGCAGTTCTCCGTCTCCTCTGGAACATGTGCTCCGAGAAGACAGCACATCCACTGATGAGCCATGTCAGCATATGACCTCCTCTCCTCCGGGGTGGAGACCACGTGCTTCCTCAGGAGTGAGCATCCCTCCGGGTCCGCGCCGCGTCTTCCTCATGGGAGCTGAGTGGAGGTGGCCGGTGCTGTTTCAGAGGGTCCGTGTGCCTTCTTCTCTGAGAAAAACAACAAAACTACCTCATTGCTCCCGTGGAAATCTGGTGGCACGGAATTCATTCTTTTCTGAAGTTTTCTCCTCTCTTGATATTTTTCTACTTAGTAACTTGTCCTGTTGGTTTCAGGGTTCCGTTCACCACTTGCAATCTTTTCTCCCTATCCTTTTCCCAGGATTCAGTCCCTCCTAGGATGCTCTGCCCTGTCATACCCTGGAGAACGGTAGCCACTACTCAGGGCTGTCACCTCCTCCTCTGCTCAGGCCATTCTCTTTGCTGCTTACAGGCTTAGGGGCTGCTGGGCAGGAAGCTGGCGGTGGGCGCCTGTGCACCCCAGAGCAGTACTTCCCAAACCTCCCACGGCAAGGCAGGTCCCCCTCCCCCAAATCTGTTGCTGACCCATACCAGAAAAATGAAATAAAAGACAGAAAATTTGGTCTCTAATTTGTTGTTTTAATTTCAACAAAATAAATGACCAAATTACTATAAAAACTTCTGCAAGCCTACTGTCATGTGTAGAATGGTAACAGCCCGTGGACTGACCAGCGTGGTGCAGTGCAGGCCCTCGGGCCGTCCTTGAATAGCACTGTCTAAAGGCCTCTTGAAGTGCTTGGCTTAGTTTTGTGCTACTGTGATTCCTAGATCTCACGATGCTTCAGTTATTCATTGTCCCTCAACCAGGTGCTGGGAGGTGGACACTACTCCTCAGAGCTACTGTTTTTATTTATTTATTTATTTATTTATTTATTTTAAATCCTTTCCTGAGGATATTTTTCCATTTATCTTCAGATGGAGTGGGAAGGAGGGAGAGAGGGAGGGGGAGAGAGAAAAACATCGATGTGAGAGACACATCGATTGGTTGCCTCCCACACGACCCTGACCAGGGCTGGGCACTGAATCGCAACCGAGGTATGAGCCCTTTACCAGGAATCAAACCCGCAACTTCTTTGGTTTGCGGGCAGATGCTCTAGCCACTGAGCCAAACCTGCAGGGCCAGAGCTGCTGTTTTTAAATATCCATTAACTATACTCTTTGGAAGCTGCCGAGGCCTTCTTTTTGGGTTATAAATCCCAATAGCATCGCCTACTTCTGTGTCCCCAGGGACATTTAGTGTTTTGTTCACTTATTCCCATCTTTTTTCCTGCTTTTCTTTCATTTTTGAAAGCAGTGGTAGAAAAGTTGCTTCAAACTTTATTATGGTCCTAATTGTATTAGACTATAAGTTTCAGTAAAGCGTAGAGTTTATGTGTTGTTTAATGTCTCTGTTACATGGAGATTGCTTATGGGAAAATAAAATGATGGAAGGTGATACAGAGATGGCAGCAGTATAGTGTGAGGATTGGAGAGGGTGGGGTTAACCTCATTTCTATGGGGAACAGGGTGGTCAGGCCATTTTTGAAACCACATTTTTTTATTCACTAACACTGTTTTTGAGTACGTGTAGTTATTAAAATTGTTGGTTAGTAAATAAAGGAAAGAAGAGAACTAACGTTTATTGAGGGCCCAGAATGTGCTATGTACTTTCATATAATATTTCTTTTCTGTAAGAATATTTACTTACTAGCTTAAATCACCATGTGGTTTCAGAGGGCTTATTTGATAAGAAGTGATCATTTAACTAGGTCTCAAGCCCCCCTTGGTAGATGATGATATTACTGGTCTTAAGCGATGCAGACACTCTGACACTGCAGGGTTTTGTAATGTGGACACTTAGGGAGAGGTGTGAACTCCTTGAGTTCTTGAGGCCTATTTATTTCATTACTGCTGTGCTAAATAAAACATTCACTGTGCCTCCTAATAGTGCCCAAATAGTTCTAGGCAGTGATCTCACAGTTACTGCTGTGGATACAAATAGTTTGTAGGGAACCACTGAAGCGCTGATGGGGGCAGGGAGGCAGAACATGCGGGAACCATCACCACGACGTTATTCCAAGGACATCAAAATAAATCTTTGGGCCTGAGAAGATGATCCTGACATAAGAAAACAGTATAAATGATTTGGTTTCTAATTTTACAGTTACATCATATTCTAGGAACTCTTCAGCCATCTGCTTAAAGAGTTCTGAAGCCTGCCTTGCTCATTAAGACCTTTAGTTCTAAACCCCAAATGACCTTGTGCTACTTTACATCTGCCGTAGTTCTCTGACTCTGTCAGTGGCAGAGATGTCACTGACTTACTGTACCCTCACCACCGATGAGCATCTCAGTGCACTGACTATATCCAAAATAGCTAAGCAAACTTAAGGCCAAGATGTAGTGAGCTTTGGTTTTGTTTCTTCCCCATGTGAGAAAGGCCTCTTTTGACCCGAATGTTTTGTATGAATTATCAGATATTTTCGGCCAACTTTCAGAGGTAGAGCCACTTATATTTAGTTGTATTTCAATAAAAACATTGCCGGTCATGACTTCTTTTGGAGTAAAGGCTGCCTTTCTCATTGCAAGACCCATGCTTTTTTTTTTTATCCTCACCCGAGGACATTTTTCCATTTTCTGTTCAGATAGAGTGGGAGGGAGAGAGAGAGAGAGAGAAACATCGATGTGAAAGGGACACATCAAATGGCTGCCACCCGTGCGATCCAACCAGGGCCAGGGACAAACTGCAACTGAGGTACGTGCCCTTAGTGGGAACCGAACCTGGATCTCTGGACCGCAGGCCGATGCTCTAACCACTGAAACCGGCCAGGGCAAGACCCATGCTTTTTGTACCACGAACAGAACAGCTCACAGCTGCTGGTGAGTCAGTTTGGATGTGCTGGAGCTGGGTTATTTTGCAGCACTGCAGACTCAGGACTGCTGAATAGGGTGTTCTTCAGTGTTACAGAGACCTAGTTCCGTTGAACACAAACATAGCCTCATTGTTCCATAGGTCATTGGACCACCAGACCTATGTAAACTCAGTCCCTAGAAAAACGTGGGCATCTTAGCTAAGGAGATAGAGAGGTATAGAAGTAGATACATCTATCAGTATGTGCATGTGTGTAAATGTGTGGTTCTCTCTATATGCTCTCTGACCTATATCACCTATGTGTGACGTTTATGTTACATGTATCTATGAATGTATACATGGACACCTGTTAACTCCTGGATAACTTTATTAGCAGCTTTGTGAAAGAAGTTAGAATAAGCCTTGCTTATATTCGCACCTATTTTTTTGTTTTTGACATAGCGATTTAATCCATGTGGCGCTTGTTCAATGAACATGCATAGATAGGTTTTACTATCTTAGCAGTGAGATTCTTCCCATCCTTTTGTGCTCATGGGCACAAATGACTTTCATTGAAATATATCTACTCCATTGTTCCTTCACCTACTGCTATTTCACAAGGCTTTCTCTCATAAAAAGTATTATACAATTATATGATTATATAATAATTACATAATATATATTATTTACAGCCTAGGACGAGTTACCAGAGAATACAGAGTTAAATTAGTTATAAAACTTGTCTTAACAATAATTTAAAATCCCCAGGAATTTAAAATCTTCAGAATCATACACTATCACTATCACCCCTTTCCATTCTTTGTAGAAATGAATTCTGATCTAGATATTCTGATGTAGTAGTATTTTGTTACAGGTCACTGTTAGTTCAGGATATCTGTTAAACCCTAGAGGTTCTACCATTTTCTAGTGAGATTTGACTTCAAAGACTCCTTATTTTGTCTGATTACTGATGAATTATAGGATTCAAGTTACATTCAAACATATGTACATATATTTACATATGTAAAGTATCCATGAGTTAGAGAAAATGATAAACTAAGAATTGATTCTAAGCAATGGTATTACAATTAGGGCCACCACCACCCCCTGTTTTTACATTACATCCCATGTCTTATGTTCAAACTGGGAATTTGTATTTTGTTTTGTTACTCCTTACCCGAGGATATTTTCCAGTTTTAGATAGAGTGGAAGGGAGAGAGGGCGAAAGAGAAGCATCAAAGTGAGAGAGACACATTGGTTGATTGCCTCCCACATACGCCCCAACCAGGACAAGGGATTGAACCTGTAAACCAAGGCACCAACCCTTTACTGGGAATTGAACCTGAGACAACTCAGTCAAAATAGGTCAGAATTGTACCTTTTTTTTTTTGGTCAGATCACAAAAATATATTTTTCGGCGTGCCATGGAATTTTAGTAATTCGTTGATGTGTGCCATGAGATGAAAAGGGTTGAAAATCAAAGCAAGTGTTTGGGCCGTGTGCCCAAGGTGGCATTCCAGTTCATTTCTTATTTCTTCCACAGTGGGGAGTGGGTCTGGAAGCCACCTTCATGTCTTTGCAAGAGAAATGGCAGTGTTGAGAGTTGCCCCTTTATACTCAAAAGTCGAGGTACCGTCACTCCCACCTGGGGAATGCTCTCCTGCTCTGGGACAGTGCCACCTGCGCAAAGACTTGAGAGAAAGCAAGACTCGAAGAGACTTATTTCCTCACCTTGACCGCCCAGCTGAGGGCAGGTGTTCATTCAGTCGACATTTCATAGTGGAGCAGTTCCCAGGTCCTGATTATAGAACATTAGAACTCGGATAGCTCAGCGAGAAACACGTTCCGCGGCAAAGAAGTTCGGGAAATGCAACATTCTAGGTCCTTTTCCGGAGTTCCACATGGCACATCATCCTCCAAGAAGCCCTTTAAAAAGGAAACCTGTTTCACTTCATCTAACTTGCTGTGCTCCACCCCCACCCTCCATTCATTTGACTTTAGGCCTCATTTTCCCTAAATACCTATTACCATTCCTTGGAAGTCAGTACTAAAAGGATCAGGTTCTAGGAGGCAGGCGCTGAGAGGGGACATGGGCTGATAGACACGGAAGGATGAAACCACCAGAAACAAGTTTTGTCCACCTTTGAGCCAAGAATTCTTGGTATGCCTCCGGTGGCCTGCTTTTCCCCTATCAACTTACCTTCAGAGTTACCAGTGAAGCCTATGTAAACAGCAGAGCCCTGAACGGGCTACATTTTTTTTTGTTACCATATCTTTAGATTAGCTGCTTGTTTTTTTTTTAATTGAGTTGAAGCATAATTAATTTAGTCTAATTGTGCACAAACCTGTTTGATTTAGAACAGTTCTTTTAAAATTTAAAAACATATTTGGTAGCCATACCCAGGTTATCAAGTTATTTTTGGCTTGAGTCATCTTGTATGGTATAGAAATAGTATGTAAATGGTGCTTTAAGAAGACAGTTTCCCTGAGATTTTGTTTGTGTCACTCATCACATTTTTTTAGCAGCCCAGTGATAACCTTTAAGCACAATTCCTATTATACCTGAATTACTGACATGTCATCGAATAGAAAGGACAAATATTTTAAAAGATTTCCAAGACATTATTTACTCCCAGGTATAAAGGCATTTGAAACACCGTTAGTGGGTTTTATCCTCCCAATTTCTTTCCTCCAAATTTTAAAAATATTTCTCCTCCTTTTGTTAATATGGCTTGTTTTCATCCACAGAGGCCAGCAAGCTTGTTATGTCCTACGTAGCAGCTGTTTGTGGAAAAGGAGCAGAAGTTAATCAAGTCAAAGAACAGCTTTTGCAGTCCAACCCGGTCCTGGAAGGTAGGACTTTCTGTGTACATTGCGTCATGTGACTTGAACCGTAGATGCAGTTTTCAGGGCACTTCCGGTACCAGGTGTGCTGGGAGGTGGGCTGGGAGGGAGAGGAGAGAAGGATTCAGGCCCAGACCTGCCGAGCAAAGGAGCTGCTTCCTAAGAATCTCTGGTTCTAGTGCTTGAAGGAGGGGATAGTTGACTCATGTAAAGGGAGCTTTCCCACTTAAATTCTATTTTTCCCTTTCAGCTAGAATTTGAACCACCTAAATCTTGCTTAAAAATAATCAACTGCTATTTGCATTTGACGTCTAGGAAAAACTTGGTGGAAAAGAGCAATGCGAGCTAAGTGCTCTTTTATTGTTCAGAACTGCACGTGGTGGCTTATTTCTGTTGTCGGGGATATGAAGCCTGTGCCAGAGACACATTTAAGGGCCAGTATTTTCAGGTCCACAGAAAGCTCAGATTCTATGGTTGACCGTCTGTATCAGTCAGCTCTGGATGCCATAACAAAATACCATAGACTGGGTGGCTTAAGCAACAGAAGTTTATTTTTTCATACTTACAGAGGCTCAGTAGTCCAAGCTCAAGGTGCTGGGGAGGTATGTTTTCTTCTGAGGCCTCTGGGCCTGTAGGTGGCCGCTGTCTTGCTACTCTGGCTCACACGACCCCTTCTTTGTACCTGGTGGTGGTGGTGGTGGTGGTGGTGGTAGGAGCCTGGTTGGCTCACAACCTCATCAAACCCTAATTACCTCCCACAGGCCCCTTCTTATATATCATCACATTGGGGCTTACAGCTTCAACATAAAAATTATTTTTGGGGGGAGGGATATGCAAACATTCAGGAAACAAAGCCCGAAATGAGTTCCCTTAATGCCATGGAGGTTAGCATAACTCATGGACACAAACCATCCTTTACTTTGGAAACAGCAAATCAAAGTGTTTTCCTATTAATGGCAAGCCCTTGGCATTGCTTTATATTATAAGCATGTCTTGATCGTCATTTAACATAGTTGTTGGGGTAGCACAGAGTTTCTCCACCTATTCTATTGATTCTTTGGACTGGTTAAGTCTGCTGTGGGGGGGTTTGTCTGTGCATTGTAGGGTGTTTGGCAGCATCTCTGGCCTCTGCCATCCATCCCCCGTTGAAAATGGCTCCAGATATTGCCAGATGTCCCCTGTGGGGTTAAAACCACCCCTGAGTAGAATCTCTGGTCTAGAAGAGTGGTTTAGTTCAACCCTACATTCAAAGCCATGGAAGGTCAAGATTTAACATGGATTGATGCAGCTTTGGAATTGGGGGGATACCCCCCCAGTGTGGAGGGGCGGAACCCTGCCCATTGGCAGGCCTAGTCCTCCTCTTCCACTTCACGACAGGGAGATACCCATCGTTATCCCCCAGAGAGTGGAGTGAGAGTCACAAAAATACTTTCACTTTGTGAAAAGTGGAGACTGAAACATCTATTATATTGTTATTGATCTTTCTCTCCCCTTAGTACCTTAACAAATAAAGAAGTTGTTGTAGAAAGTGCTACATCTTCATTTTATTCCCATATTTGACTTTTTGGGTAGTTATTGTCTTTAAAGTTGGGGTATTACCCATGTGTTATATTCCTGCACCTGTTTATTTTAAGAATGCCATGATTTAAAGGAGAAGCACTATGGAATGCTATAGTTTCTTTCATCTGTGATTAGAATTTGGGCCCTGGCTGGTTTGGCTCAGCGGTTGGAGCATTGGCCCATTGGCCTGTGGACCATTGAGTCCTGGGTTCTGTTCCCGCTAGGGGCATGTACCAAAAAAAAAAAAAGAATCTGGCCCTTTATTTGATGGTATTTAAAACTAGGTCCCAGTGCAGGAAATGGAAGAAATGTCTACTGTGGGCATGCATTATCTTTTATGGGAATGCTTTGCTTTTTAACGGGAGCTGCTACTGTAAATGAACATTTAGAACAATGAACTTAAAAAAACAATTGAGGAATGTGTCTCAAGTGTTCTATAATGGACCCCTTGTTTTTGATTCTGTGGCTTACAATAAAAGACTTTAGTGTTCAGAGCTGTATTTAGTAATGTGCAACTCAGATTTGTTTGATGAAAAGATGGTTTATGGCTTGCAAATGACGCCATGAATAAAGTTTTTTTGAAGCAATTCCTTCACTTGTCCTTGCCCTTCAAACCACAACAAACTGTCTTTTATGTATCAGTATCTCGAGCTGTGCAAGTTAGTTAACTTGGCACCCCTACATGTTCACACCCACCAGGAAGGACTAGCCTGTGAAGACACAAAAAATAGCATGGTCTTCATGATAACTAGGTCAACACTCACCGTCCTCAGGATTGCATTTATTAAATTAAAGCCTTTTAGCTGGTAGTGGACGTGGGATAAAAATGTGGACTTCTTGCCCAGCCAGTGTGGCTCAGTGGTTGAGCATCGACCCATGCACCAAGAGGTCGCTGGTTCAAGTCCCAGCCAGGGCACATGCCCAAGTTGTGGGCCCAATCCCCGGGAGGGGGGCATGCAGGAGGCGGCCAGTCAGTGTTCTCCCTCATCGATGTTTCTGTCTCTCTCTCTCCCTCTTCCTTCCTTTCTCTCTAAAATCAAAAAAGGGAAAAATAAATTTTTTTAAATGTGGACTTCTTCAACAAGCATCCTTTTTTGAGTATTTCCACTGTGCAGGTTTCTTCATTCAAAGCATCATCTGTTTATTCTGCGTTAAGGAGAGAATTTGGTGTCAGGGACCTACCAAACCAAATCCATTCCAAGTGATATCTCTAATACAGAGAACTTTCCATGTGTTGACTTTGTAAATTTTGTCTTAACTGAGGAGGAACCAACTACTTTTTTTAAAGTCAAAACCATTAAAGCCAGCTAACATGAAATATAATGCATCAGGTTTGGCTACTGAATATCCAAAGTGAACTTGAATGTAGATGCACACTTCTACGCCTGGTCTAGTGAGTGCTTTCAAAATGTGGACCAGCTTTTAGCCCTTCATTATCATTTGAGCTCCCACTATTCTAATCATCTCTCTGTTTGATTTAATGAAGTTACGGAGGTTTCCCGGGATTTGATGCCTGGTCTCTTAATCTAAAGATTCATTCCTGTTTACTACATCATTGTGTCTCTTGGGTCCTTGCTAGCTGCATTGTGGCCTATGGGTCCCAGTAAACAGCCTTGGGGATTGGCAGAAATGCTGAATTTCATGCCTGTCTCTAGACCCACTGACCCAAAGTCTGCACCTTAACAAGATCACTAGGTGATTGGTTTGTACATTAAAGTCTGAGGTGCACTGCTGAGCTTTCAGAGCATCAAACAGGGATCCCCTCTGCTTACACGACTTACTGAATTCTACTCAAGCCTTTGCTGCCATGGCCCAGGTTCATTTGCCCCTACCTTGTGCACAAGCTCGGTGAAACAATCCTTTTACCTCATGACACTACGAACTACCTGTGTTAATAAACAGGCACACTCTGTGCCTCGGTGGCATCAACCTGTGGCTAATGTGCCCTCATTTAAAGGGGGTCCTGTAGGAGATCTTGGCTCTGAAACAGTGGCGACTGGAACATACTTGGATTTTGAGTCATGGGCCAATTGATTTTTTTTTATATTCTAGAAAGGTCTGATGGACATAGGTTAACAAAACAGTGTAGCATGTTTAACCTATTAGAAACGATGTTAGTTTTCAAACCTCTTTCTGTTACAAATAGCGTTACTTAAAATTAATTAAATAATTTAAGGGTTCTCGGGCCTTATTCAATCTGGAAACCTCATTAAGTTCCACAAAACTTGGTAATGTGAAGTAGTAGTAATCTTTGAAATAACCTTATTCTCTGGTGATAATAGTGGGAGAGTCCAGAAGCCTTGCGTGGTAGCCACTGAATTCATTACTGTCAAAACAGTTAGAAGATCCTGAATCAAACAAGATGAAGTTTACAGTAATACTTGGAAAAAAAAATTCCATGAATCATAGGAATGACTCTCTTTTTCTATGAACTTAAAAGACATAGAAACTTTAGTATACTTTTATTAAGTATGTTTCTATGGAGACTTTAGGCAGAAATGCCATTGCTACAAGTTGTATTTTCTAGCATTTGTAAATTTCAGATATTATATTTGCTTTATCTTTCTGCTTGACATGATTTCCTGTCAATTTTAACCATGTACCAATTTCTTTCTTACCAGCTTTTGGAAATGCCAAGACTGTAAGGAATGACAACTCCTCTAGATTTGTAAGTATTTGTATAAGCATAAGTGTTAACACTAATATTTAGCTCATGTATGTTTAAACAATCAGTAGATGTTTAATATTTCTTAATACACACATTTCAAAAATAAGGACACCATCATTATTGAGACTCTGAGAGTTTTATATGAACTATTTTTGCTTTCTGGAATTTTCCTTTTTAAATTCTTCTTGGAGTGACAAGCTATTTTTTTCCTCATGTTTTCTCGTCATCTATCATAAAATTCCACGAGCAATTTAAATGAGGTTATTTAGAATAATTCTTTACTTATCTGAGTTGTGGTATTTAGAAATCATAATTAAGAATCAGAAATTAAACAGAAAGAAGGATAAACTGGGTGTCAAGTTTGTATGCTGTATAGGTTTTGTCCTTTATTCAGTGATACCAGAATGAAAGGAGGTATATTCTCAGACTCTCCAGAAATAAAAATCATTAGGATTGGCAGCTAATGGGGGCAGGGAGAGAAGACTGAGTAGTAAAAACTGAAGCTAATTGTTCCTTGGAGTTTGGCTGAGTTGGAAAATGCTAATTCTTTTAAGAGAAACTTTTCCAGCCTCATCTCCCAACACTCTCCAGCATGATTCTGCACATCTGCCCACAGGAATCTCGCCAGCTGTGCCACGCCCTGTCTTGCCTCTGGTCTTTACAGAGACACAGCGTGGAGGAAGCAGGGGAAATATGTTGAGTGTGTTGATAGCATTTTGAAATCGGTTCCTTTTTTCTTTTTGATTTATTTATTAATTTTAGAGAGGGAGAGGAAGAGAGAGGGAGAGAAAGAAACATCAATTTCTTGTTTCATTTATTTATGCATTCATTGGTTTGCTTCTTGTATGTGCCCTGACCGGAGATGAACCCACAACTTTGGTGGATCAGGTTGATGCTGAGCTGCCCATCAGGGCTTGAAATTGGTTCCTTTGTTCTATAGTTTAACCAGTTGTATAATAAAAGATCATTTACTTCATAAGCTCTCTTCTCATACATTACTTGGAACCATTTTTTATCTTTTATGTCTCCCTGCCACAGACACTTACTGCCCTTTCTTTTCCCTTCTTTTGGCTCCTTTTGATTTTTCCTCGTTGCAGTTATCTAGTGCTTAAGGAAGGAGAATGACCTCCAGTGGGCATAGTTTTGATAGCTTGGAAAGTGGAAGATTCCTAGTTGTAAGGCTGTGAGTTGTGAAGGCTGTGAGTGTTTTCCGTTGGATTAGCCCCTTCAGTTGTTCTAACTGATGTGAGCCATGCCTTTTCCTGTTGTGGTAACAAGGCTAATCTTATTACATAAACAGAATTAGAAGCAAAGTGTGGGCCGATACAAGTAATTCCAATAGATCAAGCTCCTTTGTGGAGATTTTATTTTTGCTGTTTGCAAATTACATCCACACACTTTACAAAAAACATTTGCAAATATATTTGGTCTATAGACTGTAAAAACTGAGAAAACCACCTTGTTTAGAGTCATTATGACTTTGTGACATTTGAAATCTATTGAAAGGCTTGGCAGGTGATTTGGCTTATTACGTAAATTCAGAGAAATCCTATTATAACAGAGGTATTAGGATATGAAATTAATACTGGATTATAAGCAAAATCATTTCATGCTCAGTTTTTAGTAATTTCTCTGCTTTGTGGTCTGTGACTTGACTGGTAATATACTCAAATTCATGTTATAATTTTACAGTACGATTCTACTGTATGTAAAGTTACTCCTATATATAAGTGTTTATGACTCCATGGAAATTTCATTTCCTTTGAAAGGGTTTGACAGGTTAACCCAGAGTGAACTTCTTGATCTCTTCACTGAGAAATCTGGTCGGCCCTGCGATGGTCTGTTAGGCACGCTCCTTGTAGCTGACATTTTAGACCAGTGTTCCATGGAGGTGCCTTACAGTGACTCCCACTCCCCAGCACCTCTACTTTGAGCTTCTATTATGAAAGAGATCCACTGTTTTTGAAAAAGACAACAAAACATTTAAGCCTTTGGAAATCATTGTTCTCAGCTAAGGCGTTCAGGGGAGTGGAGAGCAGTAATTTGTTGAGCATCTGCTGTGTGCAAAGAGCCAACTTAGGGCTTGGAGAGTGTAGGAGAGAACCTGTAGGGTTGGGGAAATTTCTTTACCAAACCTCTCATTCAGTAGGAATGAAAAACCTATATAGTTTATTCATTTGTTTAAAAACTCTGGTTTTTTAAACATAGTTAAACCTTGGTCTCCCTGCATCTCCTTTTGCACCAGTAGCTGAAGTGATCTTTGCCAGTTCCCATCACTGCCCTGCTGAAAGCCCTTGGCGACTCCCTCTTGCTCCTGGAAGACAGTACACGCTCTCCCCGGAGGCTCTGCTGAGCTGGGTGGGGCCTGCTTCTCCGTTGCCTGCCCCGCCTGGGCCTCAGCCACACATTAGGCTTTTGCAGTTGCCCATGCTCTGTCCTCACATGTTTGCATGGCCAGGGTCTGTTATTCACCTCAAATGTCATGTCCATGATGCCTTTCCTAGACTCTGACTTCATCCTTCTTAAAATTTTTTCAGGCATTCATTAGTCTCTGGAATTATTTATTCGCTTTCCCTATTTATGTAACCATTGACCTTAGAGAGTAGGAGCCATGGGAGCAAGTACCCTCGTCCTCTTGTTCACTATAGTAGCTCAGTCCCTGAACAGTGCCTGGCGCCACAGTAGACACTCAAAACATTCATTAATGAATGAATATCTGTTTTTAAGAAGCTTATAGATTAGTCAGAAAAAATGGACGTGTCTAGAAGGAATTACAAGACAACACATAAAATAGTAAGTTCCCCAAGAGAGATACAGGTTAAGTTTTAGAGAAGCTGGAGGAATCTGGATCTGCGGACAGTCCTGTGGGGCTCGTAGAGGAAGCTGAGGCGTGAATCCGTGTGGACCTGCCCTTGTCAGGCCAGAGGGTCTGTAAGGAGCTGGACCAAAGAGCTGGGAACATGGGTTCAAGTTTCCACGGGAGGGCTTGGAGTGCCAGGTTCAGGGGCTTGGACTTTGCCTTGCAGGCAGTGGGAAGCCACCGGTTATTTCTGAGTAGACTAGTGACATGATCAGAACCAAACTTTTGGCTGCACTCAGGATATGGCTGGATAGGAAGATGGCCATGCCAGTATCAAGGGACTCCCGGTGCTGTTGCTTCCTCTTCCATTTTCTTCATTGTTTGTTCTGCCCTCTTCAGACCGTCTGTCCTTGCTCTCAGCTGATATTACACCTGCTTCACGGAAATCATCATCACCACCATCTTCCTCCTCCTCGTCATCCAAGCCCTCAACCTGAGTGCCTCACCTGTCCCTATAGCTATATACACACCCTCCTGTCACACTGGGAGGTTTTCAACTTCTGTTTCACACTAATCCCAATCCCTCCATCTGGGCTCTGGAGCTATTGCCTTCTATGCCTAGGGACCACCTTCCATCAAAATCATCCCTTCTCATACGGTCAACCTCTCACTCTCCTATGAACTTACCTTCTCCCTTCCTGTGTAGCTGATTCGCCTGCATTGTCCCTGCCATCATGGAAAGCGTCACTATCCACTCAGTTGCCTGGGCCACGCTCCTGGGCTTTTTAATCTTTGTCCCCCTCCTCTCTGACCTGGTACCTCCAACCAGGACCTGTCATTGCCACTGTCTGGATAGCTGTCTTCTCTCTACTTTTCCCTTTTGCCACTCCTGCTTAAAGCCACCACCGTCACTCACCTGGTTCCTGCCACCTCCTGTTAGCTTCACCTCCCAACGTGCACTAGCCAGAGGGGTCTTGTAAAGAGGCAAATCTGATCATGGCATCCTTGTTAAGAACCTTTAATCACTTGACTTGGCTGTCAGGAGACGTCTCGATGTCATGATTCCATGATGCGCTCCCTCTTCCCTCACCATCCTCATAGACGCCGGTCCCTACGCCTGCTCCTTCCTTCTCTGCCCCTCCTTGCCTGCTTGACCTCTGATGCTTAGGGCAGACTTCCTGCCTTTCCTTTGTCCCCTTTCTTTGTGCATAGCACCGTGACCCACTGTAGGGGATATCCCCATAAACAGTAATGTCCTGTTTATCTGTCTCAGTTCCCCCTAGACTCTACGTGTTTGAGGGCAGGAGCTGTTCCTTGGTTTTCCTTGTGACTACTTTCATATCTAGAAAGTGGTGTATAGGCCTTTACTTAATGACTACCTAGTGAAGGCTTTAAAAGGGCAGACGACCCATGCGCATGGAGATGGAGAAGGCAAGAGAGCAGGCATGAGCTAATAAAAAGGCACAAATGGCATTGTTGACTGAGTGCCATGTGATCCCGTTTCTCCTCCCTTACTTTTATTTTGAAAATAGAAGAGTTTAAGTAATTCTTTGGGAGAATTGTTTACAAACCATCTCTCTGACTGTTACTAAGGTAGAACATGAAACAAAACTAAAGACTACTTCTTAGATCAACACACCCTTTTCTAGACAAAAAACAGCTGTCAGAGCTATTCTGTTATGCTGGTTACTCTTTAACCAGACAATTATAGACCGATTCTTTAAAAATTACAGTATGAAACTCCATGTGTGCTTCTCTGTGTTTAATATACTGTCTGTAAAGTGTAATAGGAACCTGGTTATATATTGCTGTGTAATCTAGATCAAAGCGTAAGAGAGTAACACTGAACAGTCTTTGATTCTGAGCTGGTCACACCACATAACCGTGTATTTGATTTAAGGAGATATAAAAACAATACTTGAAGTGTTCCATTGTCCAGTATGTTTGGAGTTTCTAGCCTTGGCTTAAACATATTTTGCCTATAAAAATGAAATGATGTATCTTCTCAGCTTATTCACGTATAAGGGATACTTACTTTCCTCAGTTTTATTGTTGAATTGAATACACACACCCTCCAGAATTTGAAACCTAACTGAAATGGGAATTGTACGTGGTGGCTGAGAAGAGCTATTCTCTTTTTATTCATTTATCTTCAGATAGAGCGAGAGGGAGAGAGGGAGGAAGAGAGGGAGAGAGAAACTGATGTGAGAGAGACACATCGAATGGCTGCCACCCACACGACCCTGACCAGGGTTGGGGACAAACTGCAACAATGGTACGTGCCCTCAGTGGGAACCGAATCTCGGACTCTCTGGTCCACAGGCCGATGCTCTAACTGCTGAACCAAACCAGCCAGGGCAGAAGATCTATTCTTGAATTAGCAATGGGATGTGTTAGTGTTGAGCTAATGGGGTATTTAATGTGAATTATTCGTGGAGGCATATTGTTGTGCGTCATGGTTACATAAACTGCCTTTCTTAATTACATTTAAACAAATGTATAAAGGGCTTAAACGTATGCTACTCTCTAAAAATATAACGCTGACTGAATATTTTGAGTAGATCTTGAAAAAACTCACAGAGTCTTTCTTTGGCAGGGCAAATATATGGATATTGAATTTGATTTTAAAGGCGATCCACTGGGAGGAGTGATTAGTAACTGTGAGTATTTTATTTGAATCCTTTCAAAGAAGTTTAGAGTAGGAAAGCATGTATTTATAATAGAATATTTTAGTACTTGGGTCTTTAAGGGGTGGGCATAAGAATACGTTTTCTTATACTACTAATGACTTTTAACCTATATGTTCAGGTTGTCTTATAAAGATTACATAAGCTTTACCTTTGGAGAACTTTTTAGGAATCTGCTAAAGAGATAGGTATTAGTCCAACTGTACTTTATATTCTGTAGACCTTTAAGCCAATCCAGTAATAAAAGAGGTCCTCAAGTGGTTATTTTCTTTAACAAAATTATTTTATGATTAAAAACATAATATAAATAGCTGATTTTAATGTAATAATTTATTGTGAGAAATCTTTACTTTCTCGTTTAAGTCATTGAAATGTCATAGACCCATTAGGTAGAGATATAGATTTATTAGCCTCCTTTAGTTATGATTTGTGATTGTAGAAGTGAAATATTCTCTGTCAAAGGTGAAAAAACAAGTAATGTCAGGTAAGGATTGCTTAACAGCCCCAGGTCCAGAGTTTTCTGACGTGGTCGAAAGGCTCAGTATCTGTTATAAATACAGCTGCTATCAGTGCGTTGCAGCGGCAGCTCGTGTTGATTTGGTGGTTAATTAGTTTGAAAAATATAAGATGGTGACTCAGGGTTTGTGTACCTCCTATTGGAGCCATGCCCCAGTTATTTTTTTTTTGTGTGTGTGTGTGTGTGTGTATGTATATATATATATATATATATATATATTTTTTTTTTTGAGGGCCACACTGTTGAACCTCCCTCAGTTTCTGCCTCCTCACCACCCTCTGGTGCTTTTGGGATAGCTAGAAGGAGAATAATCTAAGTGTAGACTCAGGAAAAAAAAAAAAGACAAATGGGCTCAGGTATCAAAGCATGCTCATCAGATTTGCTAGAGCATCGGACTTCCTTCTTTAATTAACTTTTATGCTGAACCCCGTGTACGAAACAGAAAATAAGCCCTGAGCTGGTGGAACAGGAGATGGGTGTCTGGATCCCCTGTGGCCTGGATGGCTCCTGAGCTCATTCTGACAAACTCGAGCACCAGAGGAATGCCACTTGAAAGTCAGTGTTTTAAATAGTTTGGACAAATAATGCAGCTGATTTAAAAAAAAAATTAAATCACTGTTTGTAGAATAACCTTCTAGGGCTAGGATTTTCTCATCTTTGAATCAGTGGATTGAATTGAATAAATTCTGTGGTTCTTCCCATTTCCACCATTTTATAGTTTTTAAATAATTTAATTTTCCATTTTAGTTTTCCTGACTATACAATTTATGTGCCATGAACTGGGATTATCCATATTTGCAAAAATGTATAGTTACTAGAGAAACATCTTAAGCAGTAAGTTTCAATATGAAATAAAATTGGCTAGGTTAGTACTACTTAGGTTAAATGGTTTTATATGTCAGCGGTGGAAGCAATAGTACTTATGCAGACCATATATGATGCCAAAATCAAGTGATTATAACCCTTCCACGCTTGTTAGGCGAGCTCCCTCCCTTCAGATATATGGCAGCTGTTGAGAGCTATATAGGAAAAGGTATGCCCCAGTTTTAAGGCCACCTGTTTAAGACATGACTAATTTTTATTCTGAAAGATAGTCATAAACCTTTAGCATTTACTTTGTACAACATAACAGGTCTAATTATTAATTTCATAATACATTGTTTTTTAAAGGAGGGTAAGTTTAGCCCGGCTAGTGTGGCTTAGTGGTTGAACATTGACCCCTGCCCCAAGAGGTCGCCGGTTTGATTCTAGGTCAAGGCACATGCCCAGGTTGTGGGCCAAATCCCCAGTGGGGGGCATGCAGTAGGCAGCTAGTTGATACTCTCTCTCATGGATGTGTCTATCTCTCTCTCCCTCTCTCTTCCTCTCTCTAAAAATCAGTAAAGAAAAAATAAATAAATAAAGGAAGGTAAGTTTACTGTTTTCATAATAGAACATATATCGAAACATTCTGAAATGATTGAGTCAATATTACCTTCGAAGACTCTAGGAAAATATTTAAAAATATTTATTGTAAATATTAGAAACCAACATAGGATTTACATTTTGATGTTTAAGCTCCAAACAGAAATGTCTTTCTCCTTCTTACAGTATCCATGGAGAATAAATATTAAGCACTCAGTTCTTTTTCTGTTAATTACTAGATCACCATGGATGAATTTCATATGGTGTTTGTTACTCTTTGTTCCCACAAGGAAGTTATATCGGAATCGGTGGTAGTGGGAACACCCGGGTGTTTTCTAGAGGAAAGCATACATTAGTGGTGAGAGGAGCAGTTTCACGCTGGGTGGAAGGGGACTGACTCATAGATGGTCACTGGGAGTTGCTGTCTGCTGGCTGAGGGCGGGGTGTAAAGCATTGGGTAAACCCACTCTTGTTCTCTCCAAACTGCCAAAAGTTAGCTTCTCGTAGCCCTGATAGGAAAAGATTTGCCATTTTGGAGGACGTGCATTTTGCCTCCTTTTCCAGCAGCCGCCTAGTAAAAGTAGAGATTGTTGGCTATAACTATTACCTTGAAAAAGGCACAAGATCACTTGAGCCAGTTGTGTACCTGGAAAGGAGGAAAACCCACCATCTTCCTCTTTTTCTGAAAGAGGCGTGCTGCAAAACTTGTCTTCCGCTCACTTGAAGGCTCACAGTATCTCTGAGGGTAGAATCATTAGGAGACAGATGTTGAAGAGATGGAAAATGGCAAACTTTTGCTTCCTTTGAGAAGATTAAAGACAGAAGCCTGTCCAGATGTTTGGTTGATGTGAGATACTGTTTCTTTTACTATGTTACTGCTTGTTGGTCTCTTAAAATTTATGCATTTGTATTTGAGGATTTTGGATCTAGCGTCATACATTAGAAACTTGTGGAAACCTGATGCCTTTATAAATAGTCACGGGCACTTTCTTATAGCTCTGCCACCTGAGGGCAATTCAGACAGGAGAAAATGTGGTACAAGTCTCAAGGACTTTTATCTTCTAAAAATGGAATAGCACAGGGTACTTGTCTGTGCTGTGAAAAAGCCTCATGATTTCAGGTATGCACATGCCTGCACAGACCGCAAGGACCGGAGATAGGGCTGTCCTGTTCACGGCAGTAGATCGAGAGCCTCGTGTGACACCTGACACACAGCAGGAGCCCTGCCTTTTCCTGCTTCATTATTCGAGGCATGGCCATGAGCCTACTCATACATCTCTTACTGGTTTTTCATGTGGTTTCCAATGTCTAAGCAAAACGACAGCAAGTTACTTCATTCTCTGTGACTCCATTTTTACATCTTCGAAATGGGATGATAATAGTACCAATCTCATAGGGTTGTGTTATGGGGTAAATGATTTGTTAACATCTAAAGCACTTATAACTGAATCAGCCAACAATGTTTTCATTTCAAAGTTGGTCTGATTGTATGCTTTGTACTACACGATTTTTTATAAGGGACTTGAGCATCTGTGGATTTTGGTGTCTGTGGGGTCCTGGAACAATACCCTACAGATACTTTGGGATGACTGCATATGAAGACTCAAACTCCTTTCTCTACTAAATATTTGGAATGTTTTGTACTTTTTGTACTAAATCTTGTTAGCAGAGGCTCAATTAGTGGTGGCAGAAGAGAAGGCCATGCTGGTGTTTCACTTTGACTTAATTCCTTAGAGTGACTTGAATTTATGTTCTGTACTTTGAGTAGTTATTTGACATGGCTTCATGCTGTTAGATTATGTTGGTGCCTGCACATTAAAAAAATAGACTATGGAATGGTTTTAAGCATAATTATTTTGGGGCAAACATTTTCCCTGATTGCTTCTCCAGCTGGAAGCTTGTAAGTTGTAAGGAAAGTCATAAAGATGTAGGCTCTGGAGTAATAGACTAAGCATTTTAGGTGGTAACACCTTCCACTGCTCTGTAATAAAAGGTGCCTCATTTTATGAATGAGTTGCTCAAATGAAGTCATACAGTTTTGTAAAGTACCCATTTCCACGTGCTTATGGAGTTTGCATTCTTTTTGCTGGAAAATTATAAAGAGTATAATAAGCAGAATACCTTAGTCACCTAAAGCTCTGAATTCTGGCTCTATGCTTAGTAACAATGGGCTGTGAGCCTCATTTTCTCATTTATAAAATAGGGATTATGAAACCAACTTCAGGGGAGGGATTCAGGATAGAGTATGATAACAAATGAAAAGCACCAGATGTGCCAAGGAAGGTCAGTAAAGTTCCCTTTCTGCTTCCCCGGTGCACCCTTCCTTTTAAGCACACACCTCGTGTTATGTTTCATATTTGAATATGATAGTAATCACTGATCATATCAGTGTGAGTGGTTCAAGAAGTACATTGGCCAGCATTCCTTTCCACACTCTGCACAAGGGAACATTATTCTTTAACTTGGTGGCTGTTCTCTGCTGAATCTTAAAGCCATTGCCATTACTAAACTCTCCGTTGACTACAAGCATTTGTTCAGTAAGTGCCAAGCATTAGTCTGGTCAGTATGTGGCCCTGTCACATGCTTTGAAGGTATTATTTTGTGTCTTGAAGTACCCCAGTTGGCTTGTGGGAATATGACTGGGTAAGTGATGCCAAGCAGTTATTTGTCATTACTGTTAAGGTGTCACTGTTAGGTGGGCTAATGCTTGTGAGGCACGGCAGGGTTCTGAGCACCACCGGAAGAGCCTGGGGTTTGTGGGCTTTGACAGATGAGGGACACCTGGTCTCTCTGCCCTCCTCACCACCACCTCGTTCTCTCACCTAAGGGCCTTGGTATCCCACCTTAAAAAGAACTACTGCTGTTGGTGGCTGGAGTCATAATGAACATGTGGGACTCTTTTTTTTTTCTTTATTGATTTTAGAGAGAGAGGAAGGGGGAGAGGGAGAGAGTGACAGAAACATCAGTGAGACAGAACATTGACTGGCTGCCTCCTGCACGCCCCCTACTGAGGATCAGGCCCACAACCTGAGCATGTGCCCTGACTGGGGATTGAACCTGCGACCTCTTGGTACATGGATGGACACTCAACCACAGAGCCACACTGGCCGGGCAAGCATGTGGGACTCTTAGAGGCCAAGAGGAAGAAGGTCTTCATGTTTGCAGTCAATGCTGGGCTCGTTTCCAAATAGTACCTGGCACATGGTGGGTGAGCAGTAAGTGAGTTAGTTAATTGATGGAATTTGTGCATGAACGGGTGAAGTAAACTATAGCATGTGTTCATATTTTTTATGTAATTGAGTTACTTTCTTTTAGACTTGAGGAGTTTCTATAAGGATTAGCTTCTCAATGAAGAATCTCCCCATGCCACGTGGGTTCTTTCTTCTAAAACTGCTAGAGCCCCGGCTGGCTGGTGTGGCTCCGTGGTTGAGCATCAACCCACGCATCAGGAGGTCACCAGTTCAGTTCCCAGTCAGGGCAGATGCCTAGGTTGTGGGCCAGGTTCCCAGTGGGGGGCATGCAAGAGGCGGTCAATCGATACTCTTTTTCATCGATGTTTCTTTCTCTCTCTCCCTCTCCCTTCTTCTCTCTCTAAAAATGAGTAAAGAAAAAAAATTTTTTGAACTGTGCTAGAACTTGTAGCCATATGATAAGTAAAATCATACAGCGTTTTTATCCTTACCTGTTGATTCTGTCTTCTGCTCTGCACGTCAGTATTTACCTGCTAATTGATTGAAATGGTCAGTCATTAGAGATGATGAATATTCCATAATCTTTCTTTTCTAAATTTTGCCTCACTTGTGCTTTCGATTTCTGTTTTCTTGTTGCTAATATGAAGTCTTCATTATTTGAGGGCATTGGCAATCATCCAGGTCAAAAGAGACCTGGAGATGAAACATTTAAAAACTCCATAGCATCCTGTTCTCATAATTTTTGTATTTACATACTTTTGTTCTCTTCTAGTCAGCTTAAGTTTATGTTTCCTTGTAATCCACATCTTCGTTCTTACAATGACCTCAGGTATGAGGACCCCGGGGACTCTGGGTTCATCACATCTACACTCGCACTCCGCCTAGGCTCCTCAGCCTGCGGGTGTGGATTCCAGAAATGCAAATTAAGTTCAGTGACCATTTCCAGAGAAATCACACATCATCGCTCCCTTTTGCATTTTTTGGATAACGTTTAAATTTCGATCTGATTGGAAATCCAGTGTGTTGGTTTGTTTTCTAAAATGGGCCCTCAGTGACGGGATCACTAATTTGGAATTTTGAAACTCAGTTTGGCCTTTGCCGAGAATCCGGACGGGCTTTTATATAACTGGTCACCTATCGGCAGGACTCCGGCGGGCAAGTTCTCTGTCGCCTCCTGTGCATTGCCGCCGGGCTTCTTTCTGGTGGGCTGGGCTTTCTTTACTTTAGTTTTGTTCTTCTTTCTCTCTTTTCTCCTTTTTCTGTTCTTACACCGCCTCCCCCACTTCCCTCCCCCCTTCCTCTCCCTCTACCTACCTGTCTCCCTCCCTCTCTGTCTGCCTGCCTGCCTGCCTTGGTGAAAGTTTGGAAAACTTTCAAGTTTACGGGATGAAAAATTATCTGGAATCATTGAAAGTATGCTGTCAGATAACACCAAGTTCCATTAAAGGAGAACCACTCCTACTCTCGAAGTCTTCGAGATATCAAGAAAATCTGCTTCGCTCATCCCAGGCAGCAGGGCCGCGGCTGGAAGGGGTCTGCCCTTGGGTCAGATGGCCTGACTTCAAATCGCACTTGAACCCTGGCCTGTCAGTTTGCTCATCTGTGAAATGATACCTTATCAAATGGTTGGAGGATTCAATGAGAAAAGTCTATAAGGCACACAATAAGATCTCAAAAATATTAAATTATTTATTATCATAGTTATTTAGTTGTTTCATAAAGCTATGTTTTATTGCTTGATTTGACTTGTAATGCAACATTTGGAAGAAGTTAATGTCATATGTAAAATTAAGAGACTCAGTGTAAAACTACAATTTCTTTAATCAGGTTATTGAATGTGTTGTTGAACTTATTTTGCATACTCACTGTTTAAAAGACTCTGGTGTGTTTAATTTGGTGATTGTAGTTAGAGTTGAGCTTCTCCCTGAAAATAGAGCTGAAAATGGAGTATCTGTTATACTTTATTACTGCAAAACAGAAAAAGAAAGTGAAAGGATTTATGAGCAAAATTAATCCTACATTATGGTTTGATTCTTCTCTTTAGATCTTCTAGAGAAATCTCGAGTGGTTAAGCAGCCAAGGGGTGAAAGAAACTTCCATGTGTTCTATCAGCTGCTCTCTGGTGCCTCTGAGGAGCTCCTCAGTAAGTCGCCTGTCTCTGTGTAGCAATTCTTAAGTGTCACAGTATTTTCCAAAGCATTCTTTTAAAAAGTATCTCATGTGCTTTTTCCCTTCTGAAACATTTTCATGACTGGTTGAAGTGAAGAATATGGTGTGTTTGCTTTGATTGCACTCCAGCATTTGTCTGAAATATGTCACCATACTTCACCGGATAAGATGCTGTGCCCTGTGTCTCGGATGGCTTCCTGAGAGAGCTGTGTTTTGGGGGAGGGGCTAGTTATAAAGTAAAACAATAAAATGGAATAATATAATTATTTCACTTGGGGAGAGGAAATTAGCAGGGAGCAGTAGATGCATACAGTCATAAAAAAATATTCAGTGAAGATTTAAAAATAGTGGGAAGACGTTTGCAACTGATACTAGAGTTAAAATACTACCTTAGGATATTTTAGAAAATAGAGTGCATAAGGATAGTATCCAGTAGCAATAGCCAAGTGATGAAAAGTTTTGAACAAGTAGTTCAGACCAGAAAAGCTTTGGCAAGTCAGCAACACCTGGGGAAAATCATCCTCACTAATAATCAGCAAATGACAATAAAACAACTCTGAAGGGTCCTCTATACATATGCTAGGGAAGGTTATTAAGGATAAAGCTGGTAGAGTGGTCAGGCACTGATCTGCTTAGGGCTTGTGGGTATCACTTCAAAGGGAGGACTTCTTCCTAGGGGGCTAATTAGCAATCCAAAATAAGTCATAAAATGATCAGAATTTATTGCCCAGACACACCACTTTTTGGAACATATCCCAGCGAAATAATTCAGAAGACCCCCCCCCCCCCATTTTGTCTGAAGACATTTATTACTGCCTTATATTTATTATTATAAACTGGTGAGAACCCAAATGTCCAATGGTGGGGGAATCACTAGGCAGATATCGTGTCACAATGAAATAGTACATTGAAGACATTTTATATTGTAAATATGGAAAGGACCTCACCCATTAAGAATAAATGTAAAAAAGCAGAGGCTGAGATATGAACAACACTGATAAAGGTGATTTTAGGAAAATGCTATTATTGGTATTGGGGCATCGATTTTTGTTCTGTTGATTTAATGCAGAATATGAACGTCATTTTATCTGAAGGGATAAAAGCATGAGATAGTAAAGACGATTAGAGTTATTGAAGTAGCTTACCAGTTTGTATGTGTGATTCAATAGATAAACTTAAACTCGAGCGGGATTTCAGCAGATATAACTACTTGAGTCTGGACTCTGCCAAAGTTAATGGAATCGACGATGCAGCAAATTTCAGAACCGTTAGGGTAAGATGTAATCTTTTTATTGCTCTTTAAAATGGGTAGCACTTTATTGCTCAGTCGGAATTGGTAACAAATCTGAGTTTTCTTTAATGTGTAACTCATGTTCTCTAAAGCTTTAGAATTATACAAGAATTTATTGTATTTTATTAGCTGAATCTGTTTACTAGCTCCAAAGTCATACAATATTGCGAAGGCCATGCTTTATTGGAGCATGCAGTTTTTACTATTTATCCAACGGAGCTTTCTTATTATATTATTTGGGGGTTTGACTCTTTTTTTAAAGTTGTACTGAAATTCTGAGTGTTTTCATAACCAAAGCTCAATAGTTCATTTTCAGATGTGAAAACTTGACTTAACATGTTCTAAGATCATGTTAGGTCAAAACTATTTTTGAGACGGAAAGTTGTTTTTATATATTTTTTGAAAAATTGTAAACCAGAATTATCAGCATTTAGAAAAATTAATTTATATCCTTTGTTTTATGTTCATGTGGCACTTTGAAAATGGCTCCTATTAGAACATGATATGGTAACTGATATTTACTTTCAAATGAGACAGCTGTGGTGGGGGTGGGGATGGGGGGTATAGAGGAAACCGGCTTGGCGTCAGGCCTCAGTTAGTCTTTGATGGTGAGTGAAAATGACTTGGGATGCTTTTCCTGTTCTCTCTACTTTCGTATATGTTTGAAGTTCTGAGTTGCTTAGTCATAGTGACAAACAAATAAGCTGGGCTCTTCTCAAAAAGAAGGCATTTCTTAGAGTAGGTCATTTTTTAAAACTGAACATCCTCATATGGGAGGCCTGTTAATTCCTGGACACAATTTTGAGACTTTAGTTCTAGACCAGCTGTCTAATGACTTTGCCTGGCAAGTCCTTGACACTCAATTCAACTTCATGATAGAATGAGTGTTGCTGATTAACCACAGTGCCTTGGGTCAGGTTTGCAAACATCCTCTTTGCAAAACCACGGGTTTTCTCATCTGTGAAATAAATGAGGAGGTTTTTTGTCGGGAGTTATGAAAGCTCTTTGTTTGGTTTTATTTCTAACAGTAGAACCCCAGCATAAAAAAAAAGGTGTATGTGTATACCTTTTTATATATACACTTACAAGCTGGAGGTGGGAACCCAAGACTCAGCTCTCAGCCTCTGCTATTTTCCTCCTTACCCCCGCCTGTTGCCACAGCACGTGAGGGTACCCCAGGGCTCCCAGCACCACAGCTGTAAATCACTAAATAAGCTAAAGCCCCACCTGTGTGCTCTTTCAGGTTTGTTAATAGAGTTGCATTTTGGAAAGTTTATTCTGGGACACTGTCTTTTTGTTGTTGTTGTTTTTGTTATTTCAGAAATAAATCTGTGTCATTAAAAAATAATAATAAAGAACTACAGAAAGAAAACAGGTGTTTTTCCCTCCCAGAATGCCATGCAGATTGTGGGTTTTATGGATCATGAGATCGAGTCTGTCTTGGAAGTGGTAGCAGCGGTGTTGAAACTGGGGAACATCGAGTTCAAGCCTGAATCTCGAGTGAATGGTTTAGATGAAAGCAAAATCAAAGACAAAAATGGTAAGTCTGTGCAGACCCAACTTTGTTTAGCAAAACTTGTTTTGAATTTCTGCCCACAGTTTTTAATCTAGAAAGTAACACTTGCTTTTGATTGGTTCGAAAAAAGCTTTCTAGTGAAACTGAGCACAAGTGTAATTACAGCTGAATTTTTAGTCTTAATTTATACATTTTATGCTTTCGGGTTTGAATGCGATTTAGAAAACACCCTAAGCCTTGGAAATGATTATTAGCAGCATACATTCAGTCACTTTTTGTGTCCGTTTCCCCAACAGAGGTGAAAGAAATTTGTGAGTTGACTGGCATTGATCAGTCAGTTCTAGAACGAGCGTTCAGTTTCCGAACAGTCGAGGCCAAGCAGGAGAAAGTTTCAACTACACTGAATGTGGCTCAGGTGGGTGAAACGTAATGCCCAGAAGTGAGTTTTTATTACATAAGTGGAAACAGATTTTATTTTGCAGGCTGTTGCCTTACCTGACAGACTGTATTCCGGGTGCCATTCTGGGCGCTAGGAGCACAGCAGCCAGTGAAACAGTGAAGATCCCTACCCTCATGGAGCTTCAAGTTTTGGCAGGAAGAGCCAGCCAGTGCCCAGTAGACCTAGAAGAAAATAAATGTGTGTAGCGAGCCCGCAGGTTGTGAGTGCAGCTCATGAAGTGGAGAAGTAGAGCAGAGTAAGGCAGAGCCGCAGTGCTGGGGCGGGCAAGTTGGGGCCGGACAGGTGGGCAGTGACTAGAGTTTTGAGTGTGACAGGTACAATCTGCCTGGTACTTCGAAGGGTCATTCTGGCTGCCCGTGGAGAGCAGAGGGTAGGGAAAGAGGAGCGAAAGCAGGCATCTTAGTCAACTGGGCTGCTATCCCAGTATAATTCGGACTGGATGGCGTACACAGAAAACATTTATTTCTCACGGTTCTGGGGGCTAGAAGTCTGAGATCAGGGTGCCAGCATGGTTGGGTTCTTGGTAAGGGCCCTCTTCCTGGTTACAGATGCCACCTTCTTACTGTATCTCTCTAACATGAGAGAGAGAGCACTTTCACACACTATGGTGTCCTGCGCCGCGACCCTTTAATACAGTTTCTCGTGTTGTGGTGACCCCCAACCATAAAATTATTTTCGTTGCTACTTCATAACTGTAATTTTGCTCCTGTTATGTCTTAGGCGACCCCTGTGAAAGGGTCGTTCGACCCCCGAAGGGGTAGCGACCCACAGGTTGAGAATCACTGCCTTAAGGACACCAGCCTGTCATGGGAGCTTCACCCTCATGACCACATCTAACCCGAATTGCCTCCTGAAGGCCCCACCTCCAAATACTGTCACATTGGGGATTAGGGCTTCAACATATGGATTGGGGGGGGGGCATGCAGACATTAAATTCATAGCATTAGGGAGCTTTGAGGTGCTGTGTGTTAACCCAGAGATGAAGGTAGCTTAAGCCAGGTGTTAGCAGTAGCGTGAGACGGGATCACATCTGGATATATTTTGAAGGTAGAGCCAATGAAATGTGCTGGTGGCTTGTTACGTGTTATGAGATGATGAGAAGAGCCGAGGGTGACTCCCAACATTTTTGGCCCAAGCAGCTAGAAACATGGAATTGCTGTTACTGATTTAGTGGGAGAAACCAGCTTGCGGTCAAATGGCCAAAGTGGCCCCTTGCCTTCTGTATTGTACCCTCTTCATCCTCCACAGTGATGCCAATAAAGTCTTTCTGCTTTTTATTTTAATATGGAGGGAGCACACATTTTTTCTTAATCCTCACCCGAGGACTTTTTTTTTCCATTTTTTGTTCAGATAGAGTGGGAGAGAGAGAAACATCGACGTGAAAGGGACACATCGAGTGGCTGCCTCCCGCACGACCAACCAGGGCCAGGGACAAACTGCAACCGAGATACGCGCCCTTAGCGGGAACTGAACCTTGGTCTCTCTGGACCGCAGGCAGACGCTCTAACCGCTGAGCCAAACCGGCCAGGGCTCAACAAAGTCTTTCTAAGACATAAGTCTGAGTTTCTCACCACTTCTCCCCCTTGGGTCAAGTTGAATGGGTGGACGAATGGGTGCACACAGGCACGCCTAGGCTGCATCCAGAGCCGCTTTCGGTCAAGTCTTTGTTCTGTGGCTTAGACATTTCCCCACAGGTCGGGGCTCATCCAGTCTAGAGTTAAATGAGTGATTGAGGACTTTTCCCACTCAGGCCTACTTTGTCCAGCTGTGTTCTCCTGCTCAGATGTAGCCTTGAGCATCTGTAGGCCACTAGATGGATTTAGTCTTTTTCTCTGCTGCTCTGAACTAGTCTTTAGTTGCCTTTAACTTTCTTCCCATGTTTATTTCTTATTTTAGGTGAGCTATTTGGCTATGGAAAATCGATTTTACATTATTTATATGTAAGGTTAGTTTGTGACAATCCTTTTCTAGCTGTGTGTTGTGTCCTTCCTAAATTACTGCTTCTGCCGTCATGTTGGTCCACGCCAGCCTTACAAATTCCAAGTCATATGGTGGGTGACTTAATCAAGAAAAATGTGTTGAGATCCTGCTCAGCACAAGTATCCATGTAGAACAAAAGTGAGGATATAAGGGATGAAGGAAGACCTCATGGAGATGGTGTCTGAGCCAGTCATGAAGGGTTTAGATGTGTAGAGAATGGACGATAGCGCATTTCAAAAGGAAAACGATGATACAAGCCGGCTTTGGAGGACTGTGAGGACATGGAGTGATCTAGCTTGGCTCTAGCGTTAGGTACTGGAAGAGAATTCAGAGCAGCGTGTGGAGTCAGAGAGGAGAGAAACTATGGCAAGTTCTCAAACTGGAGTGTGCGTCAGACTCACCTGGAAGGTTGGTCAGCACCCTCTGCAGGCAGTGCCCCTAAGTGTTTGGTTCGGTAGGTCGGCGTAGGAAAGAAGATTTGCATTTCTGACAAGTGTAGAGGTGATGCTACTGCTGTGGGTCCAGACCATTTGAGAACACTGTATGGAGCTCACACTGAGTTCAGACGTTTACAGGAGCCAGAGTGGGAGCTATTAGGTATATAGTGTTGTGATGGAAACAGTCTCTGTTGTTTAAGAAAGCCTTTAGAAATATTCATATATGAACTGTACATGGATATATTTTGGTCTGTTTTTATTGTGTGTTTTACTCTTGCTTTTGAACCATTCTTGACAGAAACAAGGCCCAGGTGCCTTTTACTTTATAAGCTTGAGTCACCTTGCATCACTGTGTAAAACTTTTCCATATTCCTTTAACCCTTGGCATAAAAGAACTTGGCTTGAGATCCTTGATTATTCAGCTCCTTGTTCCGAGGGTTTTTTTTCCCCCTGAGTATTTGTTTCTGCCTATCTTATTGCCTAGAAAGTTTTGATTCCAGTGAGAAGTGATTTGTTTTATTAACTTTTCCTCATAGCTTCAATTCTTGGGCCCCGCCATCATCTTTATTGCCTCATGCCTCATTTTCCCCCAGGCATTTAGATCTTTCCTCAGATAGGAGGATTAATATTGAAATAATGGAAACTGAAGACAGAGTTATCATTCAGCTTCTGTCACATGGCCTCTCCTTGACTTCCAAGGCCCTCTGTAAGCTGACCCTACACAGCTTATCTCAGTTGATTCCCTGCTAGTTCTCTAAATGCCACACTTATTTTTACCTGGTGCCCTTGCTCTGGCTTGTCCCACACCCAACATGTCACTGTTCACTCCTCTACATCTGCAAATGCTCCACCTCATCCAGCGAGACCTCCTTGATCACTGCAACCCCGTGACTCTCCCTTCTCTCCACTCCTCCTGCTGTTTGGCACTGCCCTGTGATTGTTTTGTTTGTGTTGTTTTGATCTCCCCCACTTCAGTGTAAGCTCCTGGAGGGTTGCCCCCAAGTCCATGCATCTCTGGGGTCTCCACCGTGCCTCACATGCACTGTCCTGGGCCACGCCTGATGCCAGTGGTCACTGCTGCAGCAGGTTCCACCAGGGAGTTCCTCAGTGAGCTCCACGCAGGTGCAGAAATACATAGTCTATTCATATGTGCTGGGATCTGAGATGCTGAATCAGCACTCTCGGTGTGTTCCCTCGTTTCCACACACCGTACTAGTGATCCTTAAATGGAACTAACAGTCCTGCACCAACTTTGGAGGATATTAATGTGGAGATTGCATGACATGAATCAGACTCAAGATGTCCCCGGTGGCAAATGTGTAGCTCCTGGGGCCTGATATAGCTCAACAGACATATTTTATTTGACTAAAGGGTAGCGTTTTCCTTTATTTTTAAAAAAAAATTATTTTTTGCTTGTTTTTTGAATTTTGATTGGAGTGCCTTTCACTTGGAACGCATCCTCCAGCTCCTGCTGATCCCCTACTTCCTGTTCATTTCTATCACGCAGTCCCTGGAAGCATTTGAGTTTGAGACTCCTGGAGTAAATATTTGCTTAAAGGAAGCAAAGCAGATTAATTAAAGCAGCTTACCAGAATAAGCTGTCACTATTCAGTTACGTTTGGAAATGCTGGTCTGTTGGAAGCATATAGCCTGAAAGAACTAGATGGCATTATGGTGAAAAAGCATCTGTTTACAAATGTGTATTATTTCGAGATTATGTGGTGTTTTGAGATAACTGGAATCTACAAGAACAAAGGAGAAAGAATTAAAGAATTATATAAGCTCAGGAGATAGTAATAGAGAAAGAGGATACTTCAAAAATCATAATATAAATACATCTATAGACTTACTGTGTGTCAGGCACTGTTCTAGGTACTTAACAGTTACCTTTTTTAAGAAAGTAAAAACTAGAAGAAAGGGTGTTGGGGAAAGGGTATGCATCTAATTAGGCTTTTGTCTCTGTTTCAGCATTTTACATGCATTTTCTACTATGGATTCCTCCCCCATCCCTATCCCAGCCCCCAGTTTTATGCAGTTGGGTTTGTTACTATTTTATTTTTTTGCCAGCTTCTAGGTAGATTTTTTAAAACCCAGTTTGGAGTAGCTGCCCTAGACTTAGAGAGAAAGTTTTGGGATTAGCATGGAAATGTAAGATGGAGAGAAAGGGCACTCTTTTTTTAGTTGCAATATGTTGCCAAGGATGTGAATGTATTATTAAAGTTATTACATTTCAACTAGGAGGCAATGTGGAAAAAGAATTTCCACTTAACCTAATAAATTGTGTTCTTTACAAAATAAAAATGTAATGGTTTACTTTAACAGTAATACCCAACTTCCAACGAAATGCACACATTGGGCGGGAATGTTTCAAAAGCGCAGCAGAATCCCCAGCTCCTCTCCTGAGGCTGCTGGTGCCCGTCTCTGAGCCTCCCCAGCAGCACTGGGGTCACACTCTCAGCACCCAACCGAGTGTTAGGTTCTCCCAACCAAACTGACCCCCTCCAGTCTTTGGCTTCTAAGTCAAGGTCATGGAGACATAGACACCTTCTCCTCCTTCTTTGTCAAGCAGCACTGAACAGCTTTCGAACAAATAAATAAGCAAACAAAAGGGTTTTATTTTTATTATACAATGTATTTTCCAACAACATATTATTATACTGTTCATTATGGAAGATTTAAAAAAAATACTTAGAAGATTAAAGGGAGCCATTTTAATGTATTTTCTTCATATTTCCTCTCCTTTGTGTAATTGTTTAAAAAAATAGTTGTCATTGTATTAGGTATACAATTTTTTAGTTTCACAAAACATAACAGAAGCATTTTCATTACCCAGTTTTCACCGTGATCTTCTATGATGACTGCAACTGCCCCCTCGGTGGTGTTTATTTTACTATTCCCCTTTTGTTGGACTTAAATTGTCTCTGGTTTTTCTCTGTTCCATAGCATTGAGATGCATATCCCTCTGGGAAAGCCTTCTTGCAATATTTAGAATTACTTTCCTGAGATGCAAAAAAAGTATAACGGTGTGTAAACAAGTTACCAAATTCTCTTAGTGGCTTGACTGTTCACCCAGAGGGGAATGAAAACTGGCTCTGAAAAGAAATTTGAAATAAAAGAGCTTTAAATACCTTTTTAAAACCTCATTTTATTGAAGTGAAGCATTGTGGTAGTTGTGGGTATTGAGTGTTTTTTTTCTTTTCTTTTTAATAGGCTTATTATGCCCGGGACGCTCTGGCTAAAAACCTCTACAGCAGGTTGTTTTCGTGGTTGGTAAATCGAATCAATGAAAGCATTAAGGTACTGAACTCTGTAACTGAATAAATCAGTTGTACTAAATGGTATTTGGAGTATAAACATGAAGCTAAAAGATAGTTTAATTTTATAATCAGGTTATTTGATGACCACTTATAAAGATTGTTCCTTGTAAACAGTTGACCTGTATAGGATTGACATTTGTCAGGGGTTCTGTTGTGTTTTCCACGTTATAAGAGAGCTCACCCATGAGCAGTCTAGTCGTCTTCGCAAAGTTACTCTGAGAGTTAGCATCGCAAGTCCTGGCCCGTCTGCTGACTAGTATACACAGCGGCCTGAAAGGTCGCTTGACCGCTCCAGCTTATGTTCTTCAGTAAAATGAGGGTATTGGGCTAGTTATTTTGAAAGACCCTACCTGTTGTATGATTCAGTGATCCTTCTTTACAATTAAGCATCACTAATGCCTTCTTTACATAAAGCATCCATTATTAAAATTGCTGAAAGATCCTATACCAATATCATCTCAGACATTTAAAGAACACACATCTAAATTCCAGTTGTTCTAGTTATGAAACACAATTAACTTGTAATATATGCTTATGTTCTTTGTTATGCCTTTAGTATGATTTTTCATGCCTAGAGTAACCTGTCAATTTGAAACTCTTAAAGGCACAGACAAAAGTGAGAAAGAAGGTCATGGGCGTTTTGGACATTTATGGCTTTGAAATTTTTGAGGTAAGCTTTTTTCTGTTTTTTGGTATTATTTTTATTCATTAGAACAGTTGGAAATTAAGTATTCTATAGGCAGTGTTTAATATAATTAATGTAATTCTGAATCTACAAATTACTTCTGTGCAGATGTAACAAAATGTTTATGTGTTGTGAGTGCTAGGAGCAGCATGCTGGAGACACTCTATGTGAAACAGAACTTCTTGTGTTAGTTCTTGACTTGTGAAACTGCAAATTTAAAATTCTTACCAGGAAATTTCCAACAAGGTGTATGGACATTATGCCTGTAGTCATTCGTTTACTTGTGGGCTGTTTGGAAAGTGAGGCAGGGTAGTGCCGTGACAGAAGTCAGGAATGGGACAGCTGAGTGCTGGCCATGTCCCGGCCAGAGCTGGTCACCTTCATCTCTGTGGGTGGGACTCACACAGAGGGTCTGGATTAGATGATTTATTGGGTCTCATCCTGCTGTGATCTTACAATACGAATTCTGCCACAAAGGTAGAAATAATTTCTGCTGAAGTTGGTGATGACTTTTTTTGCCAAAAAACCTCCATGCTTACTACAAATTAAATATTTAAACATTTTATACTATATTAGAATTTCTTGTTTATCTATTTAACTTTGACTTTGAGAAGGCATTTTAGGACTTTTTGAAAACTTGTTCTCACTGTTTAGGAGTGGTATTTTAGATTGGCTTAGGAAAATATCAAGTAGATTGGCTTCTCCTTTTCTTATTCTCCTCCACAAGTAATAATTTGTGAATTCCTTTAAATAACCAGGCCCTGCCCAGAATGACCACTCAAAGATTTTACATGTTCTAAATGATCAGGTTTACGGAATCACAGAAAAAAACCATCAACCTATATTCCCTGCAGCTAAACTAGGCCTTTCTAGCAAATGCCTTCTTCTTGTAATATTCATTTTTGTGGTAGTGCATTCTCCTTATTTAATAGCTAGCAGTAAATAATTATTAAGGGCTGACTTTATACAAGCACTGTAGTAAATGCGACATGTATTATCTGATGTAATTTCCACAGAAGTAGCTGCTATTATTATTATTCCCATTTTACAGATAAGGAAGTGAGGTTCTGAAGCTCAAGTAACTCCCCTAAGGTTACATGGCTACCAACTGGTGGACTCGGGACCTAAACCCTAGGCCTCCTAATAAAATAATAAAATGTCTCCTACAGGTCCTTTCCCTCACTTTTCTCCCCAAACTCACAGTGTCCTCCGTGTCTGCAAAGAACCCAAAGGGGGGAAAGAACCCAAATGTTTTGATAAGTCTCTGGCTCCCCCTGATTCTGCACCATTGTCATCTCTCCATGTTCCTTGCCAGCACGGGGCACCTTGCCTGAGTTCATCTGTGTGCTGGCGGCAGAGGGTAGGGCATCTGTGCTGGGTGCCACCCCTCATGCTGTGTCCAGACTGCCCTTCAGCACAGTGTCTGCTTCTGTTTGTGCCCCTTTAGCAGACTCTGCAAGGGAAGCTTCCGGTCCCTTGGTAAGAGAGAAGAATGTGAGGTTTGTGAGTTTGCAGAATTATTTGCATATACTCAGAAATCACTATGCTGAAATTAATTTCTTTCTAGAAAGTCCTCAGGTTACGTCTCCAAGTGGGCAGCATGTCAAAATCATTCTCTGCAGTTGGCAGGGAAAAGATTTCTCACCTGGCACATTGCTGATCTAAATTTAGATGGTTTCATGAATAGGGCAAAAGCATAATAAATTTCACTAGAAACTTAAAAGACAAAGATATATTCAATGATGTTTTGAAAAGCAAAGAAACTGATTTTATTTTGTTTTCATTTTGCCAGAAATAAAAAGGATCAGATGTATTGATCTTTAAGCCAGTGGGTGGGTGCTCAATGTCATGTCACAATACATGAATTTTATTAAATAGAATAATAGGGTCATAATGGGACATTGGTTGGGCTTCATCTTTAATGTGGCCGAAGTTATAATTAGCTATGGGAAAAGAGACCCATATAGCACTCAGAGAACTAAGTTATACCTCATGGGCAACTTTGACCGTGGGCAAAAGAGGGAGTCATTTCCTTTTTTTTAAAATAAACTGTTTTCCTCCTAAGAATAGTTTATTGATTTTTAGAGAAAGGAAGGGAGAAGAGAGAAACATCCATGTGCGAGTGTAACATCTATCTGCTGCCTCCTGCACACCCCCTCTTGGGGATCGAGCCCACAACCCTGGCATGTGCCCTGCCGGGGAATCAAACCGGTGACCTTTCAGTGCAAGGGATGATGCCCAGCCCACTGAGCCATACCAGCCAGCGCAGGGGTCATTTCCCAAGTATTTATTTAGTGCCTAATAGGACCTGGATTCCAGTGGTGAACAAGACAGAAGTGCTCCTTGCCTGCATGAGCTTCACTGTCTTGGCCTGAAGATTGAGGGTCTGTTGCTGGTTGAGGATACAGCCTATCTGGTAGGAGAGTCTGATCAGCAAGCTGGATTGCTTTTTTTTTCAATCCCCACCTGAGGATATGTTTTTGTTTTTTTAAATTGATTTTAGAGAAAGAGAGAGACAGAGAGAGAAACATGGATGTGAAAGAGAAACATCAATGGGTTGCCTCCTGTACTCGCCCCGACCAGGGATCAAACTCGAAACCTAGGTGTATGTGCCCTGACAGGGAATTGAACCTGCAACGTTGTGAGGTACGGGATGATGCTTCAACCAACTGGTCAGGGCTGGATTATTTTTTAAAAGTGTGTTTACTAGACCTATCAGATCAGACTTGGATGTTCTGGGTGGGAACATCCTGTAACTTGGCACTGGGTAAAGTGTCCTTTAGAAGTCCAAGAACATTTTTCACTTATGATTAGTTCAAGTTTCTCTCCAAGCCCACCTTCCTGAACAAAGTTGACTTCTGCAAGTATTATCAGTGTTTTTCTCAAAGCTGTATGTAGCCCTATGGACTGTAGTTAACGAAAATGCCTGCATGTGTTTCTAAATGGTCTTTCTCCCTTCTTCAGAGGAATACCCCAGTTCAGTAGTTCTCAGATCTCTGGGGAGCTTTAGAAAATGCAGATGTCCAGGCTGCACCCCAGACCAGTTAATCGGCACTTCTGACGTGGGGCCCCAGCAGCAGTGTTTTATAGCTCCCAGGTGACCCCAGTGTGCAGTCCAAGTTGAGGCCAACTGCTCCTGGAAACAGGAATCTCCAGAGTGAACTGTAAATTCCAGACGTATGTGGTGTTCTTGCTGTTTGACCCCTTCACGCAGTGCCCTTGGAAAACATCCAGCCTCACCTATACTTCACTTTACCTCAACCTAATCTATGTATAGATCATATTCCGAAAACCAAACAGGTTACATTTTTGCTCTTTCTAAACAGAAATTTCAGTCAAGGCCGAATCCAACCAGTCATATATCTGTAGCAAATCTTACCGTGGCTGCGAAATCATCGGAAGTTAATTGTCCTTCTCCTTGCCGTAAATGTGTTGTTCCCCCCGCCCAGTTCCTTGAGAGAAGAGTAACATTCGTTTTTCATTATAATTAATTGTTCTTTCCATTTGCTTGTCTAAATCGTCTCAGTTTAATCTTCCAAACATCTTGATTTTTAAATTGTTGTTATTTTATAAATAAATTTAGTTTGGGGGAAGTCGGAGTAAATACTTGGCTGAGTACTTTTAAGTGCCCGTTGACAGAGAATTAGAAAGTCTTTTCTCTTTTAATGTATACATCCCCCAGATGCCACCCTACCTTTTCCTGGATTCTCAGCAGAATTAGAACACGTGAACCTCAGGAAGCCCATGGGGTTGGACACCAGGAAGCCAGATAACTAAGGACTTAAGTATCACAAGCTGCTGAAAAGTATAAGGGCTCAGAATATGACTTAGGAAGCAGTACTTAGAATCCATTTCAATTGTGGAAAAATTAAAATGTCTGTAATATTGTCTACATAAGTGGAAATAAACAGAGTATAGAGAAAAGTCTGCCTTTGTTTAGTGACAACTGACTGCAAGCATGATTGGTTCTGTGGTTTAGAACACCCTGGCGTCACTTTAAAAGATGGACAATAAAGGTCCAGCACATTTTTTTTTTCTTCTTCTAATCTGCCTCATGACCCCACCGATGGTTCCCCTGAAAATGTTTTTCAGCTGAGTTGGTGGAAACCTTTCACACACTCTGGCCCTTCTCTAAACAGAAGAGGGAGCCTGATGCATTAACCCGTGGGGTGGTGACACATGCTGTGACTGCAGACACCCCGGTGCCCTGGGTGAATAGCTCTGCCTTGCTGGCTGCATGTGATCTGCAGATTTGGAAAGCAGATTAGTGGAGCGTGGATACCAAACGTAAGGTGAAGTGAATGCAAAGTCATAGAGGAGAAAAGTCCAGCTATAAATCCCAGGAGAACCTAAGTCCAGGTTTGCAAAGGAAGAACCTTATAATCCAAACACTCCAGTTCTACACAATTAAGTTTGGGTGTCCTTATAACTGAAAACATGGCCTCTGAGCTGTGAGAAATATTATAGCCTCTCTATAAAATAACAGGTGCCATTCTTTAAAATAATGGAATTGAAGCAATGTTGAGCAATCTAAATTGATTCAACTTTTTTCTAAGGACTTGTCTGGTAGGTATTAAAATGGGCAGGTAGTTTATTTAATGGGGAAATTAATTACCTATTAGTGCCCTGTGGCGCAGAGTAGGTCAGCAGTGGCTGAGTATTTCACTTTTCCCACAGTCGAGCTAGTTTCATACGAAGTGCTCGTTACTTGGAATCGGGCATTCCTTTTCCTTCTTGTGCTTCCAAACCTCCCTGAAAGTGGCCCGTGTGCAGTAAGGATGGACCAGCCCAGATACAATGACTGTTTCAAATAAAACAATCTAAGAGTTGGGCAACAGTCAGTGTAGCCTGGTTAAGTTCGTCTCATGATCATAGGATTTCCTTTCTAAACTGTTTTAAAAGGACAATTGATTCTGGTTATAGGCAACGCCTGTTCCAGTTTTCATCGTTACTCTTGCTTGTACTTCTTAAATCTACCCCTATTTTAAAATATTTAAGAAGAGCACTATAACGTAGTTTTGTTTTGTTTTAATCCTCACCTGAGGGTATGTTATTGAATTTTTTGAAAGAGAAAAATAGATCGATTGCCTCCCATATGCACCCCGGCCAGGAATTGAACCTGAAACCTTTTAGTGTAAGGACCAGTGCTCCAGCCAGCCGAGCCACCCAGCCAGGACTGTTGTGCTCTTTTCCTTAAAATTACCATATTTGAGTATGTGCCTGGAAGAAAAATGTTACACTTTATTTATTTATTTCTCAATTTTTATTGATTTATTTTTGTTACAGATGTTTCTCCTTTTTCCCCTCTAGACACCCTCCTCCCCATATTATACTATATTTAAAGGGAGGTTTTCTACAACTTGAGCCAATCGTTCAATTTAGTATCTAAAAAGGACAGTATATATTGTTAACTGTTTTTCTCTTATTTTGAGGATTTTTTTCCAAAGATTGCTTTCTATAAAAAGCTGTTCTTGACTTGGGGCTCATTGCTTGACATTGTGATTTTAAAAAATAGATTGTTGCCCTGGCTGGTTTTGCTCAGTGGTTACAGCGTCGGTCCTCGAACCAAGAATTCCGGGTTCGATTCCAGCCAAGGGCACGTACCTCAGTTGGGGTCGAGCAGGAGGCAGCCAACCCGTGTGTCTCTCTCACATCAATGTTTCTTTCTCTCTCTTCCTCCTTCCCTCCCGCTCTATCAGTAAAACAAAAAAAAATGTGCCCAGCCAGTATGGCTCAATGGTTGAGCATCGACCCACGCACCAAAAGGTCGCTGGTTCAATTCCTGGTCAGGGCACATGCCCAGGTTGTGGGCTCGATCCCCAGTGGGGGGCATGCAGGAAGCAGCCAGTCAGTGTTCTTTCTCACCGATATTTCTATCTGTCTCTCCCTCTCCCTTCCTCTCTCTCTCAAATCAGTAAAGAAAAAAAAGAAAAGGATTGTTAAGTGCATTGTGTTTTTGCAGGGGAACAGTATCGTTGGGAACTGCCCCAAGGCTTTTCTCTAAGCACATCTGTGCTTGGACCAACAGTGCATTTTGAAGCAGTAATATAGCGCAACCTTTGAAAACAGTGATATTACACGCAAAGTTCTACAACTTGTATATAAATGTGCTGTTTTATATATTACACAAGAGACTTCATTATTTGTGAAATGTAAAATTCCTGCCCAACTTGATATTTCCAAAAATCTGACTTCAAATGAGAGTGTTGAACTGCAAGAAATAGCCTTTAAATATGTAATTAATAGTACTTTTGCTTGAGGAAGTCTTGGTTTTTGTGTTTGAACTACCCTTGTGTTTCCTACATGTAATATTCATCTGCAAGATCCTTCCAGTCCTACCATCCTAACGACAGATGTGATAGAGCTGTCTCCTTGACTTTCTATCTTCCTTTCAGTATTTATTGTTTTTAAAGAGTCCAAGACTTAAATATCTGTCTTAAAGAGTATCAGATATCATTATCCTCCTCTGTTACTGAGAATACTACAGTAACAGGCCAATAATTTTGATCCACCTTTAAAAAGCATTCCCAGTGGGAAGTTTATAACTGGTACTTGTGAGTATAAACTTAGTTATGAACTCTACTGGGAGTATGATTTTCTGTTTAATGTTGGAAGGGGGGACTCAAATGCTAGAATTCTTGAAAGACGCCCTCGAGTTTAAAATTTTGATATATGTTTCTAAAGATGACTCCCCCAGTGTATACTTGGTAAATACAGTGTAAAACAGTGTGGAGCCCCAGAGAGCTTCCCGTGTACCTGTGTTCTCTAGAGCAGTCTGGGGAGGGTGGGGTTTCTTCTGAGCTTCATTCAAGGGGTTGTTTAATGGAAAATTCTGCATGTAATTATTTGAAGTTGTTCCCAAATGTTTTAGTTTTATCTGTCAGTCTTTAGGGATAAATGTGGGTGAGAAAAATTCCATGCATGGAGCATGGGTAGAAAATGAGAGAGAGAGAGGAGGTGAGTCATTCGTGGGAGCTCCTGCCCACTTCCTCCTTGGGAGACTTGGATTCACGAGGCTGACATGTGGCACATGGTGCCCACCCGCTCAAGGATTGCTGCCACCCTCACAGTTCTTAAAAAAACAAAGGCCTCCAAATAATCACGTTGCTTTGGGGCCTTCATATTCCTGTGATGGTTCCTAGACCCAGTTTGGCTATTTTATAAGGGAAAACCTGGGGATGTTTAATGCCTGTATAGATGGAAAACTGCATTAGACCTGTGGAAGTTTCAGCTCTATGAACTGCTACCAGGCTGTCCCTTAATTTTCTGCAAATTATACATTTTCAAGTTATTTTTAAGGCGTTGTGAGGTCCCACTTCCCCCCAAATTAGGACAATGTCAACAACTTCAGCTTAGATCACAAGAAATAGGATAGCCTTCATTTTCAGCAATAATGATTGCCCTGGCGGCTCATGACACATTTTGGAGGCTGTGAGGTGTGTGCACAGCAGATGCGGAGATATTTCTGTGGGAACGTAAGCTGGTTTCTGTTATTCTACTTTTGTTTTTATTCTTTAAGCAACAGGGTAAGGTCAGAAAGTCAAGTTTTTGTTCTTCAGCCGTCTCCAGAACACTCTCACTACCACCTTGTTTGTGTTTGACCGGGAGACAGGAGGGTATGGCACAGGGGTGGGTCCTGCCAACTCCTGCTGTCCCTGGCTTTTTAGGTGGGTATGTCATACCCATTTTATTTTTCCTGGTAATTTAGAATTAGAAGCTTTAGATTCTGAAGCCTTAGGACTTCAAGCAAGTCACATGGTGTGTGATGATTTCAGTCAAACCGTTTTTATCCTGAAGAGGTCTCACCGAGCAGACCCCCAATTCCGACACCTTGTGTAGGTATTGTGGTCCTGGCTTTTGAGTTGCTTGAACACATGTCTTGATCTAAAGTGTTATGCCAACCAGAAATATCGCCTGACAGGTAAAATCTGTCATTCATTCCAGTGAATAACTATCAATAAGTGTTTGCTTTTAGGAGTTTATTGCAAATTAAGAACTGACTGCATTTTGTGTAATCTGTCCCTTCTTGCACCAGAATGCAGTAAGTATGAGCTGTTTGCAGTGACGGTCTGTTGCATGCTCCTCTGTTAATAGCTTTTTCAGCTGTGTGAATTGGCATTAAATGGCCATTGATTAACTGTGTGGATATGAAATAGAGAATTCATGCAGGAATTTGACAAAACTAAGGGGAAATTTCATTTAGCTCTGACTTGCTTTTTAAGTTGTGTTGTAATTGTGAAGCTTTGCCTCTGGTTTCTAATCTACTTGTGTGTATTCATAGTCTTGCTCTTGAAGTGCTCTTCAAGCTGTGCATAGCCACACAGTGTGTCTGAAAACACTCAGCTACCCTCCCCTCCTTCTGCTCATTAGTTGCCATTTGAAGCTTTAGCATATTTAAAAATAAACAGTTCCATGGCCCAGACTTATGACATTACTGGAAAGGATTTATTCCATGAATTTGTTTTCTAAAACACAAAACAAAGATCTGCTCTTATAAACCATTAAAATATCATTTTATAAGTTTCTTATTGGGGTAGTAGCATTATATAAAGATATATTTTACCAAACCAAGAAAACCAGACTTTCTCATATATGAAATGGCTTTACACTGATAATCAAAATTTTAATAATAATAATAACAACAACAACAGTACATCTCTACCTGATTGACTGCAGCTTCTGATCAAAATTGTTAATCTCTGAGGATTGGAGCACATGGTTTTTAATATTTTTATGCGAAAATAAGTGCTGAGGAATGCCTTTGTGTCTATTTGTTGAAAGTATTGAACATAAATGTGTGACCTTAATAACCTTCAAGATTAAAAAAAACCACTTTGTTCTTGACTACATTTAACATTAAAAGATCATCAGTGATAGTGTATAGGTGTCATTTATGGTTTAGAGTCAAGATTTCCTCTGATTAGTTCATTACTGGTGATTAAAAGTCCTTAACTGACTTCCAGGACAGAAAGTGGTCAGCTGCTGCTTTGTACATATTTTAAAATTTGTCTTAGGTAGGACCAATGTTGATTTGAAAAGATCAAGTTTCAAAAAACTCTATGACTTCTTTGCGTTTATTGTCTATAGAGAGATTTGAAGGCCAGTAGTTCTGTGTACTCACAGGGAGGGGTGAGCTTCAGTTCTTTTGTTATGTGCAGACCCTCATAGCTCATTCATTAGGACTGGTCACCTCAGTGGGAGAAGATTCAGGCTTACCAGTGGTGGGGTTCACACCGTCCTTTGCTCCCATTGCCACCATCTCTCTGCAAAGAGGAACGGTGGAGTTGAAAGTAACTAGTTTTATTACCAGATCTACCTCTTCCTAGACCATGTGGTTCTTGGTGAAGTGTATTCATTCATCAGATGTGCATTTTATGCTCTCACAATGTACAGCAATACATTAAGCCCTGTGGATTGTTCAGAAATGATTTAGGCATGGTCACCCATCAGATTTTATAGGAGATAGCTCTAAGATAAAGGAAAAACTACTGAGAATCATAGAAGTAATAAATATGTGAACCTTCTGTGAAGAGATTATTTCTAACTAGGGAGATGATTTTGATGGTTGATTCCCATGGGTCTTCATTTCGTAGGCACATCATTCATTCATTAACTCATCAAACGCATATTGAGTACTGACTGGGTGCAAGATGCTGGGCATATGTTGGTGAACAAGAGACGTAGTTAACCTAACCTTTGCCCTTAGAAATGTACAGTCTGGTGAGACAGATAAATATGAAACTAATCAATACATGTGTACACATATAAAAACACATATATACATTTCATGTGATATTTTTTTAAAGTGTTGGTGTATAAGAGTCAGAATGAAGGAACTGACCCTGAGTGGGGGAATAAGAGGTCAGGTCAGAAGGACTTTCTTGAGCTCCAAAGTTACACTTGAAAATGGGAGATTGAAAATTTAGGTGACAGAGATTATAAATCTGTTGTGTTTTTTTTTTCTTCTGAACCTTCAGGGGAAAATGTATTTATTTTTATTTTTTACCATGTGTGGGGTGCTCTTTTGTCAACTAAAAACTTTCATCCTTCAAATGCTGCATTACTTGTGTTTACTTCGTTCGTTCACTTCTCTCATGAGTGCCTTGTTGTGCAAGCCTCTGTCCGGGAGTTGTGTGCTGGGCCACAGGTTTGAGAGACCATGTGTGACGTTTCTCATGGATTGAGATGTTAGATGTCGCTGTTATGGGAGAGCTAATGGCATGGTTCATTATTTTCCACACAGGACAACAGCTTTGAGCAGTTCATTATTAATTATTGTAATGAAAAGCTGCAACAAATCTTCATTGAACTTACTCTTAAAGAAGAGCAGGAGGAGTATATACGGGAGGTAATGTTGAAATACAGTTTTAAAAATGTTCCTTTTTTACTCCTAATACAAAGTCTGGATACAGAAGACTGTATAAGCATGACCCTAACATTAGATTTATCTAAATTTAGCTATATTGTGTCTTTTGAACATTTGGTATGACATCTAAGCTAACTGGGATTTTCTTAGCTGGAAAAAAAAATGTGTGTCACATAGTAGGTGCTCAGTAAATACCAGCTTACTAACTGGAGTCACACTGGATTTTAATGCAATGATGTGAAATGATACTGTGTTAAGAAAAGACTAAAGTGAATGGACAAACACCTCTGGTACGTACATACGAGGGCACATGACACAGCAGTGAAAAGAACAAATGATTGATTCAGTTACTTGAGTGAATCTCATGCGTTATGCTAAGTGAAAGAAGCCAGACTCAGAAGGCTACATATTGTATGACTCTGTTTATATGTTGTTCTAGAAAAGGCAAAGCTGTAGAGGCAAAATGATAAAGAGAGGCCTGTGGTTTTCATCCTTTTGTTTTTTTAAATACTCAACCTTTAGGTTTAAAATTATTCATTTCAAAAAACGAAAGAATTATTTTATTATCTTTTTAGGTTTTTTTTTCCTTTCTATTGTTTTGCCTTAATATTTTAGTAATGATATTATGTATTCTTCATTTTTATAGTGTCATTTTAAGTCATTAAGGACACTGAATTTTCTCTCTCTCTTTTTTTTTTGGTTTCTCAATATAGAGTTTTCTAATGTGATTATTATCCCCATTGACTTATAAAATAACCCATTTACTTGAAAGCCAAGTCATAAATATTTTATTTTTCTTTTAGAATGATCATTTTGCTTTAGAAACTTTTATACTTGTCTGACACCTTTCGGTAACATAAACTTCCTAAAAACCAGATTAATTCTCTTCCTGTCTTCTCATCATAAAGAGAATGTCCAGACTTTGATCTGCAACTTAAAACAGTTTGTACAGATTGTCTAAAACACTTCTAAGAGTATATAGGAAGATCCCTAGCTTGCTGTATGAATTAATTTTTTTTCTCCTTAGAAGAAAAATAAATGTTTACACTTCTAGGCAGAATATAAGCAAACATAGAATGATTACATTTGGCCTCCGATTTGGCTTTGTAGGGGGCGTGAGGATAGGTTGATGTGTCTTTCCTTATGTTGAAAATATTTTCTCTTAGCACTAAACCGTTTTTGTACATGAACTAGTTAACTGGTGTACAACATGAGAGTGAGTGTAAAATTAATTTTTTCCCTGTGATTATAAATTAAGGACAGAAAAATCCAGGCCTTAGATTCTTGGGATCAAGTTCGGACTTATTTCCTTATAAACACTGTAAATATACACAAAGTAATATTGACCCAAGGGCCTGTTGAGTAAACGTTTGGCCCAGGGCCAGTGAAGTGCATGGGAAATGGCCACGGATGGGAGCGTGGAACGGGATACAGTCTCAGAATAGGCCACAGGCGATCATTTCAATCAGATCCTGTCAGCGGTGGTCTGCTGCACTTAGAAAGTTTGGGGACTGGAGGATTGACATTGGCAGCACTGATTTTATAGAGGAAATATTCGGATAGGAAGAGGAATATGGACAAAGGCGATTTTATGGCTAGTTGAGTTGTAACATCATTCTATGGAATTTTATTTTGCTCTGCTTTGTTTTTCAGGACATAGAATGGACGCACATTGACTACTTCAATAATGCTATCATTTGTGACCTAATAGAAAATGTGAGTATGAGGTACAGTTTTCTAGAGAATTTCTTAGGAATATAATTCACTACTTACGAATGATCTCACTGCCTTCAATGTTACCCTTTAAGTATGTTCACACTTTTCTTCAGGAAACTGCAGTTCTGGAGACTTCATTATAGCCCTAAGGGGTCATACACAGTTCTTGAACATGTATATAGACAGCTGGATGTTTGGTACTTAACCTGGATCCCCAAGCTCGATCCCCAAGCTCATCCCTATCAGAGCCTGTTCGTGATGTTCACACATCACGATACCCGTATGCCATGGCCTTAGATGCATCTGCCTTTCCCATGTGTTAGGAGCCCAGGTTCATCCACGGCTTCTGGGAATGTGAACACTGGTCAGAGGAGGCTCCGAAAAGCCGTAAAGGTTTTTGCCAAAGCACAATATCCGTTTCATTTCTAAAACTCTGGTGATTTCTTAACATAATGTTCAATGGTTATGATCAAAAAGATAATTTTCAGTGAGGACGTGGAGAAAAGGGAACCCTTGGGCACTATTGCTGGGAATGTAACTGGTGCAGCTGCTATGGAAATACTATGGAGTTTCCTTAAAAAATTAAAAATAGAACAATCCTAAGATCCAGCAGTTCCATTGGGTATGTATCCCAAGGAAGTGGAATCAGGATCTTGAAGAGACAGCTGCACTCCCATGCTCATGTTAACATTGTTTACAATGTAGCCAAGACATGGAAACAGCCTAAGTCTTCATCTATGGATGAGTGGTTAAAGGAGATGTGATATAAATATATGAAAATTATTCACCAGTGAGAAAGAAGGAAATCCTGCCATTTACAACAATATGAGTAGACCTTGAGGACATTATGCTAAGTGAGATAAGCCAGATAGAGAAAGACCAATGCTGGATGATATCACTAATACCTGGAATCTAAAAAAAGCCAAACTCATAGAATCCAGGTACAGGGGTGGTTGCCAGGGAGGAAATGGGGATTATGGGTCAAAGGGCCCAACCCTCCAATTATAAGAGGATTAAGCTCTGGGAATGTAATGTACAGCATGTTGCTTATAGTTAACAATATTGTATTATGTACTTGAAAGTTGCTAAGAGACTAGATCTTAAATGTTCTCACTACAAGAAAGAAATGGTAATTGTTTTGGTGATAGAGATGTTAGCTAGCTGCTATGGCTATCTTGGTAATCATTTTGCAATATGTGTGTATCAAACCAACAAATTATACACCTTAAATTTAACTTTATATGTCAATTATATCTCAAGAAAGCTGGAAAAATTTTAATTAAAAAATGTTAGAGAACAAAACAAAACATGCTATTCAAGAATAAAGGGACAACCTTAGGAGCTGAATTAAGTAGGACCCCCCCAAGAATGGTTTAGGTGTAGACCCAGCATTTGTTCGGAGAACGTATGCAGGGATATTGCGTGTGTGACTTTGCAGGTGGCCACAGGCCATTTTTCAGGTGACCCACATATGTATGTACGTATGTATGGGAAAAGGTTTAAAGTGTGAAAAATTACTGGACTATTTTTAGTAACTTTTTGAATCTAAGATTTTTGTTTTTACATCATATTCTATAGTTGATTATAAAGGAATTGATTGCAGGGAAAATGATTTGTTTGTGAATACCTGGAAACTCTTTTTTGTTTTATGCTTAGGCTTACTAACTGTCCTGGCCTTGATAACAAAGAAATGAGAAACCTTTATTGTCCTGTAGTCTTTCACTGTCAGTAGTAGACGAGTGCTGTTCATGAATTCAGGCTCTAAATGTCCAGCAAGTGACTTTCTATTCATCTTTATCAAATCCTTTTGGAAGTTATGTAATTAACCTGTATTTTTTCTCTCAGTAATTTCTGAAAAGTGTATCTTTGATTAAATTGAGCATTAAAAACAATATTCTAAAGCATCACTAGTTTTCAGTTAAAAAGTAAACGTTGTTTTGAAAAATCTGGACAGTGTTGGAATATGAACCCTGATGTTCTTAAGCAATTCAAAACTCTAGTCTAAAATCCAGAAAATCAGTAAATTTTTTTTGGAAAAATTTTCCTGGTAAATTTTGTGACCAAGGTAATTTGCTGTGAGAAGTTTAACTTTTCAAAGTCATGACCAGCACATTTTCCTTCATAAATATAATGTTACACGTAATTATTTCTCTTTAAGAAGGAAAAAGAACAGTGGAAATACACTTCATTTAACTAGATTTTCTCAGCCAAAATACCCCTCGAGTGTGTGATGGAGGAAACTCACTTGAGTCCATGTAGAGCCTGGGTCCTTAAAGGAAATGTTTCCTTCCGGCATCACCTAACAATCATGTTTATTCTGGGGCTGTGATGACACACTTGATTCCTGAAAGGCCACGCTTCCCCTGGGTTTTGTGTGGGTTGAATAAATGCTGGTCAGAGGATGTTACAGCCTTGTGAGAAGGGGAGAGGAGCGGGGGGACTTCCCCTGTTGGAAGTGGGTGGGGTCCGTGGTCCGTGGTCCGTGGAGTGGATCGTCCTCCTGGAATGGAGACATGGATCCGTAGAGGCAATCAGAGGAACAATAGCCTTTATTTAGCAAAGTAGAAGATTCCTAATTTTTCATTCAGTTGAACTGGGCCCACTGCTCTTGTGATAGATGTGATCACAGGGCCTGCTACACAACAGATGCTCACTCATGTTTAACATCTATTTGGAAATTTTATGTGGAAGCAGAGTATTATTCTAAACAGATACTCTTGAAACACAGCTTGATTGCACTGGTGGTTAAAAACAGCATCCGAAGTCACAGTTTTCTTTTTTCCTAGAAAGTAAACTTTGTTTTGAACACATGGACAATCTGGAAACATCTGACACCAATTTCCTTCTCAAACTCTGAATCAAATAAAGGCCTTGGAAGCCCGTGCTTTGTGCTTTATGACCACATGATATAGAGACTGTATTGCCACATTCGTTTCTGACTTTTATATTTGTTTTTGAATCTTTGAAGTCTAACTTTCCTTGTTCTAACAATAGGAATTTTAGTCATTAGCCAGCTCCGATGGCTAAGGTGACTCCTAAGTCCTGTTCTGTGGGAGGAGCAGCCTTGGGGTGGGGACTGATATGGTGTCCCCCCCCCCCCCCCCCCCACCCACACCCCTGGACACTGGAAGAAGGCAGACTTCTGTGATTTTTTGTTGTTTGTTTTGTTTCTCTGCTTCTTGTGGCCAAGTTGATTGTGTTTGATGGTGTAATTAGGAATAATTGTTCAAACAATACAGTGAGGAAGGAAGGAAACCTTTTTATTTCCTTTCTCCCAGAACACAAATGGCATCCTGGCCATGCTGGATGAGGAGTGCTTGCGGCCCGGCGCCGTCACCGACGAGACCTTCTTAGAAAAGCTGAACCAAGTCTGTGCTACCCACCAGCACTTCGAGAGCAGGATGAGCAAGTGCTCTCGGTTTCTCAATGACACGTCCCTGCCCCACAGCTGCTTCAGAATTCAGCATTATGCTGGCAAGGTATGCGGTTGCTGGGAATGCCCCGCAGTCCGGCCGCGGAGCTGTGCCTTCGAGGGGACGGCTCAGAGGTGGCATTCTGACCACGGCCTAAACGGCAGAATCAAGGGAGTATAGTCAGTCATCTCATAATAACTATGTATGGTGACAGATGGATACTAGACAACTTAGGGGGATCACTTCATAAGTTATATAGATGACGCACCAATACGTTGTGCACCTGAAATTAATAGAATATTGAATGTCAACTGTAATTGAAAAATTCGAAAAAATTTTAAATAGTAGAATCAGTAAATGTTCAATAGAAATAGAATCTGGACCGTGTTGAGCAAAATCTTATTAATGCTCATAGCTGAAACGAAAGCCAGTGAACTTAATGAAAGAGTTTGAATGTATTTTAAAAATTGTTTTACTATTTTTAAGCTCTAAGCTATCCTATAAAAAAGATCTATCAACACAAATAAAGGAAATTTGCCAGTAAAAATTAAGAGTCTCTACAGACTTATAGTAAAAGCACAAACTATTTTGGGAAAAAAATTCTTAGATTTAGATTTTGAAACGACACTGGGGAAAATATCGACTTTGAAAAAAAAAACCACATACTCATTTGCTTAATATTTGGGGAAATTAATTTTATGTTACATAGATAATGTTAAAACCAGTTTTGACAATCTAGTTTTAGAATCTAGATTATTGATTGGAGTTAATACCTACTTTGTTATAAATAAGGTTGCAGACTTCAAAGGGAAAAAAATTCTTAATTATGTATTTATATTTAGTAAAAATGAAATATATAGTCTCTGAACTACCTTGAAGTTAAAAATGTTGTAACGTACTTTATTTTCTTCATTAGCCTGTGTCATTAAAAGATACTTTTCTGGTCAATTTTGCTGCTGGCGTGGGACGTCTATGAAAATTCACTCTTATCTCTCCTTTATTTCCTCCTGTCTGCTTTTCAACAGACTGGAATTGACACTTGTGAACTAAAAAATAAAAGTAAAACCTCAAAAATTTGCTCGAACAACAAAAAAAAGAAAATCCTTTGAAAGTGTTATGTTAACATTTTTGGAGTTTATTCTTGCAGATCCTGAATGTTACTAGAATTTATTTTGAACTGTTCTATGATTTAGACCAATGGAATTTAAACTTGGAGGCGAGCTCAGTATTCTAGTGTGACTAATGTGTTGGGATTTGATGGAAAAGAAGAGGCTGCAGCATAGATAATCTTGGGATTTCTTAACAGTTGTTTGATGTTCTAGCAGAACGTCAGTGTTGGGTCTCATGTTGCTCACAGGTGCTGTACCAAGTAGAGGGATTTGTCGACAAAAACAATGACCTTCTCTACCGAGACCTGTCCCAAGCCATGTGGAAGGCCGGCCACACCCTCGTCAAGTCTTTGTTCCCCGAAGGGAACCCTGCCAAGATCAACCTGAAAAGGCCTCCTACTGCAGGCTCACAGTTCAAGGCGTCCGTGGCCACTCTGATGAAAAACCTGCAGACCAAGAATCCCAACTACATTCGGTATTTCTGCACAAAATTTTCAGATAGTTCAAATGTGAAGTCCTCTCAAGGAAGATCATTTTCCTGTTTGTTTAAATCTGAGTATAGCTTAAATAGAGGATAACTAAAGTACTTATAGATCAATAGTATAGTATCTTGGGTTTGCTTAAAAAATAGTTCAGGAGCCCTGGCCAGTTTGGCTCAGCGGTTAGAGCGTCGGCCTGCAGTCCGGAGAGACCTGGGTTCGGTTCCCGCTAAGGGCACGTACTTCGGTTGCAGTTTGTCCCCGGCCCTAGTTGGTCGTGCGGGTGGCAGCCACTCGATGTGTCCCTTCACGTCGATGTTTCTCTCTCTCTCTCCCTTCCTCTCTCTCCCTCCCACTCTATCTGTACAAAAAATGGAAAAGTATCCTCGGGTGAGGATAAAAAATAAATAAATAAAAAATAGTTCAGGTGCTCCTTTCTCCCCCAAAATGAGGAATTTTAAAAAGTAGGGGAAAATGTGGTGGAGGATAGGAATAGGAATGAAATTGGGTTGTTGGCACATGGGGGTTCTCTTAACCTTCTGTATTTTTTTTGAAGTTATTTACATATATTAAATTTGCCCTGGCCGGTTTGGCTCAGCGGTTAGAGCATCAGCCTGCGGACCAATGAGTCGCAGGTTCGATTCTGGTCACGGGCACGTACCTCAGTTGCGGTTCTTTCCCGGCCCTGGCTGGGGTCATGCGGGAGGCAGCCACTCAGTATGTCCCTTTCACATCGATGTTTCTCTCTCTCTCTCCCTCCTACTTTATCTGAACAAAACAAACAAAAAATGGAAAAAATATATATACTAAATTTTTTTTAGTAAGATAAACAAAATGAAATTTTTTTGGTAAAGATTTTACATAAAACATTTGTTGAATTTATTTCAGATTTTTTAATATTAACTTAGAGCATTGAAGCAAGCGGGGCTTTAGTGTAGCTCGGGGGTTGGAAATACGTGCCTGTTTCTTTTCTGTGAGACGTACAGGCCTGGAGGAAGTTATGATTTCTAAAACTGTCCGAACTTTTTTTTTTAAATTGCATTTATTTTACTTATTTATTTATTAGGTGTATTGGGTGACATTGGTTAATAGGATCTTACGGGTTCCAAGTGTACACTTCTATGTTACAGGGTCTATATATTGCACTGTGTGCCCACCACCCAAAGCCACATCCTCTTCCGTCGCCATATATTGATTTTTTTCAAAGCAATAGAAGTAACTCTTGAAAAGCATCTGGTCTTTTTTTCTGCTTCTAGGGCATCTTAGATCTCAAATTCAATAAAGACCAACGAGGAGTAGAGTTTGCTGGGTGTGTATTTGGTGAACTAGATAATAGAAGGTGTGTGTCAAATGGGTCAGATTTCATACAGCTCGTGCACACCCACACATACCTTCTATAGTTGTCTTTGAAAGTTGAGTTATGAGGAAACTAGAGTGAAAAACATTTTTGTGTTTTGCTTGTTTACTTAATATTATCTTAGTAACATGTAAACAGGCAAAATCCCCTGGTTTGATTGCAATCAAGTTAGAGAACATACTACTTCAGTCCTAGTTTCAAAAAAAGATAACCAGGAGAGTTGTTGTGATCATTTTCTTTTCTGATTTTCTCAATGAAGTAGATGTCATTTTTTTACATTAAAAAAAAAATTCTATTCTATTTAAATATAATTTACATGAAGTGACATGTCCTAAGTTAATGGCTAAATTATTTTTTCACCATTGTATCCACTTTGGTAACCACCACCTAGGTCAAGGCAGAATATTTTGTCACCCCAGAAAGTTTCTTCATTCCCCTTCCCTCTTAGTGGTTTTAATGTATCCCTAAAAAATCTTAATAAATTTCAGGGTTGTGAATATATTATATTTTTTTCTAGTCCTGATAGTTTCAGATTTCATATCGAGGTCTATATTTTACCATATAGATATCCTGTTGCTCTGGCACCTTTTATTGAAAAGAAAAAAAAATATTTTTTTATTCATTTGCCTTGAGGACTGAATGTATGTATAGGAGTCTAGGTTCAAACTACCTAGTCTGTTCCATTGATCTGTTTGTCCTTAAGACAAAGAGTGGAAATTATTTTTATAAACGTAAAAGGAAAAGCATAAAAAACACCAAAGCTAGCCTGGCCATTCTGGCTCAGCAGTTAGAGCATCAGCCCTCGGACCAAGGAATCGTGGCTTTGATTCCCACTCAAGGGCACGTATCTCTGTTGCAGGTTCGATTCTCCAGTCCCAGGGTAGGGTCGTGTGGGAGGCAGCCAACTGATGTATCTGTCTCACATCAATGTCTCTCCCTCTTTCTCTCCTTCTCTCTTTCCACCTCCTCCCTCCCTCTCACTCTATCTAAAAAAAATCAATAAAAAAAATCCTTAAGTGAAGATTAAAAAAAAAACAAACCACCAAAGCCAAACCAGGCAAGATTTAATGTGTGTGAAGTTTATTTGATATAACTGTAAAGTGTTTATCAATGTATTAATTAGAATACAGAGATTACTGCAACAAGATAAAAAAATAATAACAAGATAAACATTTATTTCTTACATAACTTAAGTGTAAGGACTCCAGGGCTTGTAGAGCAGCTCCTGTTAGTGGCCGTGCACCTTCCATGGTGTTTTCCTCACCTACATGGTCCAAGATGGCTCTTCACCATGTCTACATGCTCAGCCAGCATGTAGCAGAGGAGCAAGGGGAGAACAAATCCTTCCTATTAAGGGCACACCCAGAAGTGGCATACATTACTTCCACTCCAATCCTAGTGGCCAGAATTTTGGTCACATGGTCACATGGCCACACCTACTTACAAAGGAGGCTGGGAAATGTAGTCTTTCCTTGGGCAGCAAGGTGCCTTGTTAGAAAAGAAGGAAATACAGGCATATAGACATGCCGTGTTTTTTAATCTTTTCATTGAGGTGTATACATAATAAAATTTGGTAAGCGCATGAATTTTAATTGTACAGCTTCTTGAATGTTTACATGTGTATAATCCATTCAGACCAAGATGTAAAACATTTTCATTATCCCAGAAGGTTCCTGTTTATCTCCACTCTTACCCCTCCCCAGAGGTAACAGCAGTACTGATTTCTAACCATAGATTAGTTTTGCTTGAACTTCATATAAATGGAATCATAAAATGTGTATTCTTATGTCAGACCTCTTGCACTCAACGAAAGGTCAGTGATACTCATCATTTATTGAACGTATAAGGGTTTATGTTTTTATTGCTGTGTGTGTAGTGTCTGAATTTTTAGGAACATCATGTGAAATAATTTCAAAAGAAATGACTAGGTTTCCCAAGAATAATAAGTAATTATCTCACCATGAAATAATTACATATGCTACTTTGTAAAACACAGACAGATAATATCCGTAGGGACAGAGTTTTAAACCTCAAATCTTTGTTATCTTTAGGTGTATCAAACCAAACGATAAAAAGGCGGCACACATCTTCAATGAGGCTCTGGTCTGTCATCAGATCAGATACCTAGGCCTTCTGGAGAACGTCCGAGTGAGGAGGGCAGGCTATGCCTTCAGGCAGGCCTACGAACCTTGCCTAGAAAGATACAAAATGCTCTGTAAACAAACATGGCCTCATTGGAAAGGACCAGCAAGGTAAGCAATTCATTGGTCATATTTAATAATGAAGTTTTAAAGCATACAAATAACATGTTTTTTTCATATGCTCTTAGGTAAAACAAATTGGATGTGAACTCTGTTTTATACCCTCTTCCATCAGGATATCATTTTGTGCTAATCCTTAATTAATTATGGAAGTCTCAGTTTTGTTTAGGGTCAAAATGGGGCTGATCAAATCCACATTTGAAACTTGTATGTCACTAGAGTTCTAAAAACATGCTGAGGTGAGTTAGGAACGATTTGTAATGGGTACGTTTTTGTAGAATCATAGCAGGGCACAGTTAGGAGGCATGTTGGATCCCTGCTGTCAGCTTTTTGCTTTGCTTTTTCTCTGAGCCCCCCTGCCCCATGCCCCAGAAAATTAACCCCAGAAAGAGTCAGTGAGTGGGGTGAGGGTCCCACTTTTTACCCAGGTCTGCACCAATTGAAAAGTAGATAATAGGAGCCAATAGTCCAAAGTGTCTGTGTTATTGCTTGTAAAGCAGGGTTGGAGAATATGGTAGAACCTGGGCCACGTGGCTTTCAGCTCACCTGCCCTCAATTGCACTCGCCCATCTAGTCCCAGACAGAGCGCCGGAGCATCGCAGGCCCACTCCCTGGAGCAGCCCCTGGAGCTCTCCACATGCAGACACGTGTGTGCTGGGGGTGGGTCACTGCCAAAGAGAAATCAGGCCTTGCCTCTCTAGCCACCTGTCTTCTGCTTTTACCAGTCAGTGAAGTTGCCCCTTTTCTGTGGCTGTAGAAACTCCTGACTGCAACAGGAAAGCCAACATGCCCTGTTTTATGGGCTTAGGCAGGTACTTGGGGATTGTCATTTCGCTGCACTGGTGTTACCTTTCCCTTTTCACTGGACCTGGCCTTTTATAAGAACACTAACAGTATTAGACACTCACCCTGTATTTCAAGAAGATAAACTCCAGACATATGGTATGGTCTCCAGTTTATACTTTAATACCCAAATAATGTGGGACCTTGGCACTATTCAGTTCTCGTGACTAATTTCCAGTATATTATGGTCATTGTGTACCATAGTACATAGTACAGGTATTTGCTCCCTGCCTGGCACTTGATCCACAGATTGGTAGGTGAAGTTTAGTTTTAAAGGCTGATGTTGAAACCAGGGTCCAGGATAGAGAGGTCAGAGTCAAGTCCAGGTCTTGCTCCCGCCATGTAAGTCCCATTGCACCCCATCAGTGTGGCTCTTAGCATTCTCTCTCAGGCTTTGTCTACACACTGGTAGGCAGAAGCAATGTTTAAAATGTTTTTAAGAATTAACTGAGTGAGTTCAGAATAGATCTGAGTTTCTTACACACCCTCCTGGCCCTGGTTGGTACCTTGTTATGGGTATATTTGATACAAGTATTGCCTCTGCTAATGAAATCAAGGCATTGGCTTTAACACCACATTTTTTTTAGAACATGTAGTTCTGAACCCAAATTTACTTTTTTAGCATTTACTGGATTTGGTTTAATTTGTGGAGTTCAGTGTTAATTATTTGATAGGTGGATACTTACTGAAAGAGCAATTATACCTGGAAATGAAACGTTTTTGTGTGCCATTGAGAATCTCATGTCATGATTTAAGATAAAATGAACTATTTTTGTAACTCAGAAAACTCATTGTTTTTATTGATTTTTATAGGGCTGGTGTGGAGGTTCTGTTTAATGAATTGGAGATCCCTGTGGAAGAATATTCTTTTGGTAGATCAAAGATATTCATCCGAAACCCAAGAACAGTATGTAATCAAAACCTTTACATTCTGAACTTATGTTATAGTCATATAGGCAAGTTCTTAAAGGATGTTTAACTCTTGAGAACATTGCCGGAGATACTACCAAAAATGCCACATTCTTGTATTTATTTGCAAATGTCCGAGAGGATGGAAAGTAAGGGATCATGGAAGAACGTGTATTCTTGTGAAACGCCAGTCTTTGATCGAATAGTTGTAAAAGAAAGAAATTATAGCCCTGGCCGGTTTGGCTCAGTGGTTAAAGCGTCAGCCTGTGGTCCAGAGAAAGAAAGTATAAACTGTTAATACAACAAAACCTTACTAATTCATAGGAATTGGAGGTAAATTCTGTCTGTATTTGTGATATCTGAATTATACAATAATTTAAGGAAAGATAATCCTATTGTTTAGGGGTACATGAGGGTACTCAAATTTTTTTCTAATTAAAAAGAACACTTAAAATTCTACTTATTAGAACTCTAAGGGATTCTTTTTATAAATGAATAGATTAGAATGAAGTATAATTAGTCTAGCAGTTGATTGATAATATGGAAATTTAGAGACTTTGGAAAGTGTTTAAATTGTTTAAGAGAAATTTTGCTAGCTCCTTTCTTTCATTAATAATTGCATCCTCATAGATAGTGTGAAGATAAACCTGAGTTCAGCCCTTCTGATTCATCATAACTGATGACTCACCAGAATCTAAATTGTGAATTTTGCATGAATTCATCAAAATAATTTGTGTAGGGGGTTATATATATAATACGGATATATTATGTATAACTAAGACAGTTACTTATTTTTTTTCTCAATGTGGTTGACTCCACCATCATGATGTCTTACCTCCTGAGAGCATTTCTTGTATGCCGTGAGTGTTTGCTGGATGTTTGATAAACTCATCTCTCATTTCTGATTAGTTATTCAAATTAGAAGACCTGAGGAAGCAGAGGCTTGAGGACCTGGCCACTCTCATTCAGAAGATTTACCGGGGTTGGAAATGCCGCACACACTTTCTGCTGATGAGAAAGAGCCAGATCGTGATTGCTGCCTGGTACAGGAGATACGCCGTAAGTCCCCCGACACTTGTAATCTGTAATAATGATGCTCACCTGCAAATATTTGTTATGTACTTACAGTGGATGGCAGTTTCACATACCTAATTCTCTCAACAACCTGATGAAATGAGCGCTTTCATGGTCCCTTTTTAAAGATGAGAAAACTAAGGCTTGAGCTGTTAAGTGACTTGCTCGCGGTCACACAGCTGCCGAGGGGCAGAGATGGGGTTCGAATGCAGCACCTCTTCAGAGCTCAAGTTCAGTATATCACACTGCCTCCCGCTGATGGAGAGACAGTGGGAGGTCTACACCTGGAATCTGGTCATCAGACCAACAGAGACAATGTCCTTCAACCCTTTGACAATGGAAGAGTCAGTTTTTCAAAATCAGTTGTCCTCCATGTATTGTAGCAGCACTTCCAATGGCTTTAATTCCAGAAAACTAATGCCACGTTTTAGTAGAATTTGGGGTTTGGCTAGAGGGTTGGATTTCCTTTAGTCCTCAGATGTTTGGCCCTATTAACTGTGGGAAAAGATTTAGTAATAAGGGATGTCTACTGGGAGGAGGAGGGGGGAATCAGTGGGGGAAAAAGGAGAAACATCTGTAACATAAATAAATAAATTTAAAAAAAAAAAGGATGTGTAGTTAATTGAGATGGAATTTCCTTTCTCATTTGATTGTACTGTTTGGTAGGCGGCACACCATAGGCCTGAGGGCATCCTGCGGGTTTGTCTCTAGGCTAGCTTGAACTTGGGCTGTGTGCTCACAAAATGAATTCTAGTGATGAGAACACTGCTTCCGAATGCTTTTTCACTAGAGAAGAAGTTGGAAAATGAATTAAATTTGTGGTCAAATCTCCTTTAGGGTTATTCTTCTTCTTTTTCAGCTATAGAGATGTTTTGGTGTAAGTCATTGTATAATCAGGACATAAGTTATGCTGACTTATGCTCCTGTAAATACATTTTTAGTGTATTATTTCCCAGTTTTAGAAATTAATGAGATTCCTAAATGATTAAGCTAAAGAAAAATGGCCTGAGCTTTTAACAGAGTATCTTTAAAATTGCTTCCTCCAGTTAAAAGAGTATAACCAGCAAGTGTTAAAGTATGAACCTATCCAGCCACATTAATGATATCATTCATATACATTCTGCAAAGGCACAGAGGCCTGTTGTCACGTGCCTGGCTGCCTATGTCTGTGGTACTCGCTCTTCTGCAGATTCGTAATCCTCTATTTTCTGTTTACCTGAGAAAGGGAAGGCCAATAAACAACCAGACCTCAGGGAACTCTTATCATTTCTTATTTTGAGATTATTAAGAACATCCAATTTGGAAGTGTACTGAATTCATCTATCTTGAATTCTACAAACATGTTGAAACACTTATTTTGCAGGCTCTGGGCATAGCAAGGTGAACAAGGCAACCTAATTTCTGACCTCCCAGAGTTTATATTTGGTGAGGGACAACATACATTTAAGCAAATATATAATTAGAACAATTACAAATTGTGGTGTATGTGAAGAAGGAAAAGGAAAATTGAGATAAAGAATAATGGGGATCCAGGTTATAACTTCAGATAGGATGGTCAAGGACAGCCTTCTGAAAGGGCCATTTCATCAGAAGGATGAGAAGAAACAGCCAAAGCAAAGAACCAAGAATAGCAAGTGCTGTTTGCATCCTCGCGCCTAATATAGAGCTTTTGTATCTCCAGATGAAAAAAAAGTAGCCATATGTATCGTTAATTCATAATAGTGAGAGTTGCAAGCAATATTAATTTGTAGAATGAAAAATAATAGCTCAGCCCTGGCCGGTTTGGCTCAGCAGTTAGAGCGTAGGCCTGCGGTCCAGAGAGACCCAAGTTCAGTTCCCGCTAAAGGCATGTACCTCAGTTGCAGTTTGTCCCCAGCCCTGGTTGAGTCGTGTAGGTGGCAACCACTCGATGTGTCCCTTTCACGTCGATGTTTCTCTCTTTCTCTCTCCCTCCCACTCTGTCTGAACAAAATATGGAAAAATGCCCTCAGGTGAGGATAAAAATAATAATAATAATAGCTCAGTTTTAGAGAAAGTATTGATGTTGCTCTAATGTTATATTTGTTTTAGAATTTGAATTAAATACCTCAACCAGTTAACTAACATATTATCTAAGCCAGTGATTAAACTCAATATTTTCCCTCAACGCAAAGATTTTCTAAATGCCTGTTTTCAGTTACTGATTCTTTTAAAAATCCATCTTTTGTGATATTTCATGGTTCCTTGAGATGTATTTTAAAGTGAGATAAAGTTATTTTCAAGCCATTTAGGAATTAAAAGAGAAAACATGAGTTACCACATGTTTGTGAGAAGTGATGGTGTGATACTGCAGGTGTCATTTGTTCCCACAGCCATGGACAATCTCTACCATACTTGGCAGGAATGGTAGAGATTTCCCAGCCTCTCATTTGACAGATGAGGAAACCGAGGCCCAGAGAAGGTAGTGACTTGTTCGAGGTCCCAGGATCCTCATTTATTCTGCTTGTATGTAGATAACAGCCCCCCCCCCGCCCCCCATTTCCTCTGATCTCTCAAAGTGTAGCTTAGAGTCTTGGAAGGCATCGTATCCCCCTCAGAGAAAGGGAGCTGAGCGAGCTGGCATTTACACAGTGGAAGTCAAGCATGACTTCAGTCCTTTGACAATCTTTGAGGATCCGTGGTCATGCCCTCACGAATGTCGTTCCAATGAAGATTCCACACTAAGGACAGTGAGAACTCACTTTTCCTTATGGTGTTCCAGCAGCTTCCACTCTGAGGCATCAGCCCTAGAAGTAAGAAAGGCCTTTGGGCATTGAGCTTGTTGAGTCAGCTGGGCCTGGAGCCTTCTGCTTGGAGCCTCACTGGGTCTTCAACCTTCCCCTCCGGGAGGTAGCCTCTGCGGCATCTGAACCTGGCTCGCTTCTCTCCCAGGGCACTGTACACCCACTGCGAGTCCTTGAGTCAGATTCACGTTATAAACTCATGGTGCTATTAAAGGACTTTATACAGAGTAGGAACTCAATAAATAAAGTTGAGTCAATTGGTAGACATTTACTTCAATTTGTTGGCTGGTTTCCCAGCTTGAGGCAGAGTAAAAGCAGAAAATCTAAAAGGAACCAGGGATGCCAGAGGCTGATGTAGTCATGGTGAGACGTGGCACCAAGAAGAGAGAACACAGTCACAGGTGCAGAAACTCTGTCTTCATTCGATGTGCGGTGACCGAGTGTCTGCCGTGTGCCTGACCTGTGTCGCATAACAGCATAACACAAAGAAGAGATGTTAATTATGGTGGGTCCTGGGCCGTTCAGAAATTATTTCATTATATTTAGCATCCTTGAAGCATACTTTGGATGAACTGTACACTCATACCTCAGAGATATTTTGGGTTTGGTCCCAAAGTACTGCAATGAAGCTAATTTACAATAAAGTGGGTTGGTTTCCCAGTGCATATAAAGTTATGTTTATGCTATACTGTAGTTGATTAAGTATGCATTGGCATTATGTCTAAAAAGAACCATTGTACACACCTTAATTAAAAAATACTTCATTACTAAAAAATGCCGACCATCATCTGAGCCTTCAGTGAGTCGTAATGTTTTTGCTGGTGGAAGGTCTTGCCTTGATGTTGATGAAAAGGCATTATCTGCAGAAGTGCAATAAAGCAAAGTGCAATAAAACGAGATGTGAATGGAATGATTTTGAATTGTTTGGTATTTTGGTTTCTTTACATATTGGTTCCCGGGAGGAATATGGGTGATCAAGAGGTAATTGCACTAAGTGGGCAAAATACTCTTTCCCAGATGTAATACAAAAAATAACACAGTAAGTAATAATACAAGAATAAACTGTTTCTCGAATTCACAACTGTAAGCCTACTTTTGCCCATGCCTGTATGTGTTACAGACATGTCAATAGAGTTGCTAATATCTTCCCTTTCATCCGACAGCAACAAAAGAGGTATCAACAGATAAAGAGTTCTGCTTTGGTCATTCAGTCTTACATCCGGGGTTGGAAGGTGAGTTTAAAAGAAGTTTGCCTTGTTTATTTGGGGTTTTCAGGTTCTTCACAAAGGATGATGTCTTTTGGTTCTCTCTGCAGGGGAGAGTTCCTTGTCTCCTGCCTGCTCTGTAAACATTCGGGGGTAAAGAATAAATATTGTGGGCCAAACTGGAACCCCTGTGACCATGTCTTGGTTGCTTCCTTCTAACCTTCTTGGCTTTCTTTTCACGAGCTTTGTTCTCTGAGCAGGAAGTCCTTGTAATAATTCCGTACATGAGTTCCCTGTTGCTGAGGGAAGCTGTAGCTCAGAAAGCTGTCTCACAATGGGGCCTCCACACCTGTGGGTCCTGCCGGACCTCATCTCTCCCAGCCCAGCGCCATCTCTGACTTCCTGGTATTCATCTTTCAAGCTATTCCATGATGGTCGAAAGAGTCTGAGCTCCGGCCATTCTAGTGGTTTGAGGGTCACAGTGGGTGGCGGTCCTTTCTACCAAGACTTGGTCTGGAGGGTCAGCAAACTACAGGCCAGTTTTAGCCTACCTTTGTTTTCACACAGTCTGAAAGCGAAGAATGCTTTTTATATTTCTAAAGCATAGTTAAAAAAAAAAAAAAAAGACTACTTCAAGACATGTAAAAATTAGGAAATATACAAATTTCATATAAATATATGCATGTACAAAATACAGAGTTCATAACATAAACTTTTATTACTACACAACCACACTCATTTATTTTACGTGTCGTCTGTGGCTGCCTCAGTGACAGAGTTGATTAGTTTTGACAGAGAACATGTGACCTGCAAAGCCAACAGTTCTTACCGATACGCCTTCTACTGAAAAAGTTGACTAACCTCGGCTCTAGGTCAAAGATAATCAAGGGCCAGTCTGACCACTGTCCTGCCGGGAGGTTTGGTGGAGTGGGCTGAATCCGGAGCAGCTACTTCAAGGCAGTTCTCAAGCCTGGAACCCCTGCAGAGCACAGAGGCCTGGGCCAGGAGTTTAATGGCATCAGTTGACCTTTGCCTAGGCCCACGGGCAGCCCAAGGCCTTGGTGGTCATTCCACAGCAAAAGCCTGGGTGCCAGTCTTAGCCTGCAGAGGAAGTGAGGCTGCTGCCGGAGATGCGCCTTTGACCTAATCACCGAGTCCTGGGTCCAGTCTCCAGTCCACTGGCTTCCGAGGCAGGTCCGAGAGTCCACCTCCACGCCGCACCCATTGGCCTGGCCTCCACGAATCAGTTTTCAGCAGTTACTGGAGAGAAGCAGCTGATGTTGGACCTGTGAGAATTTTATTTTAGCCAATTTTTAAACATCTTGAATTAAAAATATAGCTCCAGTTATATCCTCAAACCACAGTGATAAAAGAGATTAAATCGATTTGGGTGAATTATTGGAGATCCTCCAACCTCATTCTGAGAACTGCTCCTTCGGTCTGATGTGCACCAGCTTATATTGCTGTGGTCCAGTTATTTTCCTGTCACCTACCGGGGCATGCGGGCTTCTGTCCCTGTCTGAGTGGGGGCTACTGTCATGATTGATGGTGTTTTCACTTACCAGGTCTTTTTTTTTCAAGTCCCAATGGATTCCACTCTTTGGTTAACTTTGTATTTTTCTGGGTGATTCTGTACCTTAGGCCCGAAAAATCCTGCGGGAACTCAAGCATCAAAAGCGCTGTGAGGAAGCAGCCACCACCATTGCTGCGTATTGGCACGGGACCCAGGTAGGCCAGAGACCCCCCAGGAAGGCAGGGGGTCGGGGGCCATGTGTAGGATGAGGGACCCTCTCTTGGAGGCAGAACATGTTTCACTGGCTTAAGCTACTGAGCACTCATTTGCCTCTTGCTCTTTCTGACATTTTGGTGTGGGGTGGTGGCACACGCTTTCGTGTTTACTGTTTGATGGTGACCGGTGTCTTTCTTCTTTCTCCATTGAAAATCAGCAGTAACCTTTCCTGCCATAAACTTTTCTGTAACTCCTTTTCAAATGCATCACAGGCACGAAGGGAACTGAGCCGGCTGAAGGAGGAGGCTAGGAATAAACATGCTATTGCAGTTATTTGGGCTTACTGGCTTGGATCGAAGGTACTTGACATGCGCATCTCGTCACTCCGTCCTGGAATCGGCAATGATCAATCCGTAGTGCTAGCATATCAGGGGATGGATATCTACAGTTAACAGTGGCTCACGCTGGTGCATGCCCTAACAGCTGGATTTAATAAACCCGGAGATAATAGTGTCATTAGTGCACGGTAGGAAGCTTCAGCATGGATAGGTGGACAAAAAAGACTAATTGCTTACTAAAGAGGTACTAGTATAGTTGCTGTTTTATTAACACTCTCAGATAGCTTGCATGTTTAGTTTTTCATTTTTTTTCCCCTTTTCCCCCTGCCCTGACATACACCAGCCATTCTCTAGAGGTATTCCTGTGGGGGGCAAGGGGCATGTTGAGAATTTTCAGATCTGGGCCTCAGTCGGTCTACTGCCGCAATGTATTGACAACAGAAACTTCTTTAACGCATGCCGTAGACAATATTAATCCATGAATGAAACTATTTTTTAGGCTCACTGTGGCAGCTATTGATTAGTATAAGCAAAATATTGTATGTGAAAAGAATTGTGATTTAACACCAAGCTATGTTCATGCAAAAGGAGCTCTAATTGCGCTGAAGAATCCCAGGAATTTCAGCATCAGCTGTTTGATTTCCAAAACAAAGGCCTCCTGAAATGCTCTCACTACTCCCCAGGCAGAGTCGTGGGCTCTGTGAACATTGCACATACCCCGAGGGACCAAGAGTTTTAGATGTTTTTGTTACATAGAAAATCAAAGGTCATCCCTGCTAAAAATGTGTGTCCCAGTTAGAAAGGCCTATCAACATAGTCCTGTGTGTTTAAATATTCCTTGTCAGTAGTATAAGCCCATCTTGTGAGAAAAATAAGAAGAGATAACATTTATCTGCATAAAGATCTTAATTTGCCAAAACCTCACCAAAGTTGTTTGTGTTTCCCTTGAAAACTGGTGAAGAACTATCCCTTTAGCAAACGAGGACAATGTCCTAGCAGAGGCTGGAGGGACACATAGATGGTTAGCCCTGGGATTTCTCCACCGTGTGAGCTCATTTCCCAGTCTGTGCTACAGTGTCATGTAAAGTCAATGCCTCATTATTCCTGTCTTAAGATAACATGCCTCAGATCAGTGTTTTCCTAAGACTGATTTTTAAATGTATGAGTTACTTTTTATCTTCCTTCAGTGTATTTCCCTGTTTGGGGCCTTTGCTAATATTGAATTGTGATACATGCTACTTCCAATTCTCTAACTGGAAAGAATTTTGAGTTTAGTGGTCCTTTATTCCTTCCAGTTTTAAAATGGTTGTTCCCAAGTGATGTCTTTTTATATATCTGAATTCCTCCTTAGTCCCCTGTGCTGGCAGCAAAGGGAAGTCTCCTGGAATTATTAGGAGCCACTCATGGTTCCAAGGCTTTGATGAGGGAGGGGGAACAGGGGGAAAAAGCAAAGAATGGAAGTTAGGGGGCAGAGGGGTGCACACCTGAGGTGCCACGCTGACTGGCCTCCTCTGGGACAGCCTCCACGCACTACATACAAGGGACTGCACCAGCCTGAGCCTGATTCTTTGGGTTTAAATGATTGTGCAATGCTCCTCTGTCATTCTGAAATCCTTATTCATAAATTGGCTCTTCTGTGTGGTGGGGGTGTCTTTTTCTGGTCATTGTGCTGTCTGCATTGGGCTGTCTCTTTTATTTACCGTCTAAAACATTCTAGGCTCGAAGGGAATTGAAACGCTTGAAGGAGGAGGCTAGGCGCAAGCATGCAGTTGCTGTCATTTGGGCTTACTGGCTTGGACTGAAGGTACTTCCTCAACCCCTTCTTTCTGTCCAGGGTGAACTCAAGAAAGCCTAGCACCTACTAACACTGAGAAAACGATTGATTATGCTTGCTGATGGTCTGCACAGTCTTTGACAATGTCATCTTGCCTGATTTTGTTTCTTTTTTAAAACAAACCTGTACACTAATATTTTCTGATTTTATTGTGGTGTATTTCTTTGAATAATAGGTGTAAAGTAATAGCAGTGTAGCCTATTTTATTCAAGACACTTTGTTATTCAAGTTCTGTTTCATGTTGTCTTTAGGAGGATGAAGTGTTTTCGTAATTCATGAGACAGAATTTCAGTGGTTGAGCTCAAAGCTGACCTACCTTCCACAGTGACCCGCCAGGGGAGGTCAGGCTTTTTTCCCTTCATCCACCTGTTCTGCTCTAATGATGGCTCCTGGAACAGAGCTGTCTTTAAAGGGACCATCATCCTAATTGAAACCAAAGAATTTTGCTTCAATGTACAGATTTTGACAAATAAGACCAGCAGTGGATCGATCATTAGGGTAAAGAGAACCTTACATTCAAATGGCTTCTAATGTATTTCAAAGTGGTGCTTACTCCTTTAGGTAAGGACGCACATAAGTTAAGTATGACGGAGCTCCAGAAAGCCTTTAGACATCATAAGGATTTTGTCTTTTTAAATCCTCACCTCAGAATATGTTTATTGAGTTTAGGGGTGGGACGGGAGAGTGGAGAGAGAGAGGAACAGCGATGTATGAGAGAAACATGAATCGGCTGCCTCCTGTATGAGCCCTGACCTGGAACTGAACTGGCAACCTAGGCATGTGCCCTTACTGGGAATCGAAGTGCAGTCTTCTGTGGCATATGGGGCGATGCTCCGACCAACTGAGCCACCTGGTTGGGGCAGGATTTTGTCTTTCTAATATCAAGAACTTGTTACCACAGGGAGCCATCCCTACTGTCTATTGGAGACAGGTCTTTTTTTTGACACTATTCCTCTTAGTTATTTTTACTTTAACAGTATAACAATTCATCTTTTTCTAAATACTTGAATATTATCCAGAAACCATATTGACTTTGAATCTGAACAGCATTAGCAATATCCATAAACTCTGCTTTGAATAATCTGCATTTTCCCCTGCAAGTTTAGCATATAAACTTTTAGTAAATTAACCTTCTTGATTATATTGAATATTTATTATCACTTAATTTTTAAAGTAATTAAGAAGTAACTTAAATATGAATTTGAGATTTCTGTTTTAAGAATGCTGCACAAGTTCCGTAGCTACTTTTAAAACAATCAAACTAAGGATGTTATTTCCCATTTTATTCACATGTTCTAATTTGCATTCTAATTTTCAAAAGGAAAGGAACAAACAACATTAGTCAGGATTTTTACCCTCTAATGATTTCTTCCAGCAACATCATGTTTATCTTCAGTTTTCTGGGTTTAACTAACTGCATATGATTTCAAAAATACTTTCATATTAGTAGTGTGTGCTAGCAACCTATAAACCAAATTTGGTTTGTAGGTGAACGCTGTTTTAGCTGAAGTTACCCGGGCTAACTAGACGTAACTGTCTTTTTTCCCCCTGGTTTCCAACAAAACAGAAGTATTTTAATGTTGCCATTATTATTATGAAATAAGGTTAAGCTTCTTTGAAGTCCAAGAATGTAATCATTTTGTTCTTTTCATTGTAAAGAATTATGTTGATAATGAGCAGTAGTTTTGCCCTTTTAAAAAGTGACTTGATTCTTCTGGAATTGATTACAAAGTTCAGTGGGATCTTTTAGCATGCCCAGGACCAATGAAGGGAACCTATTCGTTATATTAACATGTTGTCACCAGGCTTTTTCTGTGTGTAGCTGTTATTTCGGGAGAAAAGCCTGCCCTGCAAATAGAAAGCATGTTGCAGTGAGCTCAGCTATAATGACGTTCAACTAAATACAGTAGGACTTCTAGTGTTTTTCTAAGGATATGTTCCTATGAAACCTCACTTTATTTTTTTCTTTATTGATTTAGAGAGAGAGGAAGGGAGAAAGAGAGAGCTAGAAACATCGATTGGCTGCCTCCTGCATGTCCCCCACTGGGGATTTGGCCCACAACCTGGACATGTGCCCTGACCAGGAATCGAACTGGTGACCTCTTGATGCATGGGTCGACGCTCAACCACTGAGCCACACCAGCTGGGCATGAAACCACACTTTAAATTTTCTACTTTCCTACTCTGATTTCAGGAACCAATTAATAGGTACCATTTTTCTTGTCCTTGTCTCTTCTAGCCTTGTAAGTTGAAGATTTGAAATGGTTATGAATCTAACAACTCCATGGCTGAAAGAGAAATGATAATCAGTAGCAGAGAATATGACTAAAAGGAAGAACTGCCTGTATGGTGTACGGGAGAATGTTTAAACCTCAGTAACGTGCAGGAGTAGAGAATAGGGTCTGGCGCTCAAGTGCCCAGAGGGACCAGGCCAGTCACATGGATGAGAGAAGTAGCATGTGGAAGGTGCATTAGAACCCCGGGGCCTCTTGCAGTTTGGAGCTTGCCTTTCTCCTCTAAAGGCAGCAGTCGCTACCCTGCTCTACTGTGGGGATGGGGCTCACTGTTGCCAGATCTTAGCACGTTTTAAGAGAAATATGCAATTGGAATTCCTCTGTGAAGTTCTTAGTTTAAGATATGCATATAAAACATTTTGCTACACACTGAATTTGATTAGTAGGTTGCTCACCCCTAGTGTAGAAATATTTTAAATATGTGCAGTTAAACCCAGAAAAATAAAGACAAAAGAAAAGGGTATATAATGTCTGAATTCTTTGGGTAGGCTAATATTTTGCTAAATTCTAACTCTCCCATTTATAGCTGAATGACAATAAATATTTTAACTATTTTCCCCTCAATTTCAAAATGTAATAGTATCATTCATGCATTCAGCAAACACCTTGCTCAGATATTTTGTTAGATATTAGTATATAATGTAAATGCAACAGTGTAGCAAGGAATAAATAGGTAACCTAAAGCTATAATACGCTGTCTTAAGTGCAGTGACAGTATTCAGTGGAAAGATTGGTAGGAGTAGGGATGAGAGAAAAATCAATGTAATTAGATGGAAGACAATAGTAGTTCAAATCTTTTAATGATCCTCTTATTTTTAGTAACATTCAGTTCCCATCTTCATAAGCAAAGCTTTTGGAAACAGCAATATAATAGTTCTCCAGGCCTCTTTTTTCCTTTAAAGAACAATTTGAAATGAAAATTACCTTATATAATAATCTTTTTCTGAAGTGTATTTTGATCTGTGACAAGTTTGAAGCTATGCCTGTAAAATGTTTCTTGTCAAATCATCAGGTTTTTTAAAAACTAGTTAAAAGGATTTAAATTATCAAAACATTCTGGTATTATCACTTTGTATCTCTTCATTTCTTTTTCTTTGACTTAAAATTCACTGCCTCAGTATGCTTCAATTATTTTACTACATCCAGAGAGGCACTTAGAAATTTACCTGTTCCGCCTATTTTCATTTTTAATAGAGGTGTGTTATCTGTATGGGCATTTGCTGGCCACACATTAACCCCTGTGTTCTGCTTCTTTTTAAAGGTACGGAGGGAATACAGGAAATTCTTCAGAGCCAATGCAGGAAAGAAAATTTATGAATTTACAATTCAGAGAATTGTAAGTTTACATTATATATATCTCTCATTAGCATTATTATATTAGTTAATAGCACCAACTCAATAATATGTGATTTATTTGGCAACAATTAAATCGTAACCGTGACACTGTGAGATTGTGACTTTCTTATCATCTCCCCTCAAATTCAGGCAGGATTATCTCAGAGTTATTCCTGGCCCATATGCAATTAATAAAATGTGCTTTTTTCCATAAAATATTTTTATTTGACAAAGAGAACATACTTTGGGGGAACATGAACTCAAGAAAACCGGGTGTCTTGGTTCAGGTTGCTATAACAAAAACACTGTAGAACGGGTGACTTAGGTGATAAACATCTATTTCTCACGGCTGGGAGGCTGGGCAGCCCAGGATCAGGGTGTCAGCAAGCTGCCGCGGTGAGGGCCTGCTCTGGCCAGTCTCCTCTTGATAAGGGCACTAATCCCATCATGGGGGCTCCGCCCTTATGACCTCATTCAAACTTAATGACCTCCCCAAAGCCCCCGACTCTATTCTGTTGGGGATTAGGGTTTCAACATAGGAATCTGAGAGAATACTAAGTTCTTGTCCTGCCATGAGCTGCTGCCTGGCGAGGTTGGCAAATAAGTTGGTGGGTAGAGGGGTGAAGGAGAGCAAGGCTGTGCCAATCGACCAGAATGGATTCTGAAGTCCCCCTCTGCCCTTCAGAGAAGTGTGTGTGTGGGGGGGGAGTGCCCACTCTGCAGTCAGCTTGCTCTGCTGCTTACGATGTGTGAGTTGAGCAAGTCCCTTAACTCCTTTGAGCCTCATTGTGTTGTCTGTGAAATGGGGATAATAGCACTAAGCGCATAGAGTTGTTGTAAGGATTAAAATGGAATAATGATACAAAGCTCTTACAGTGCCTGCCCAGATCATTACTGTGGAGCGATAGGACTTTCTGGAATGATGAAATGTTTTATATCTGGAATGGCCCATAGGACTGTCTGCAGTGCAGTGGAATGGCCTGGCCCATTGGGCTACTGAATAGCACTAGAAATGTAACTAATATGACTGATGAACTGGATTATTTTATTTCATTTTAATTACTTAAATTTTAAATATAAATAGCCACCTATGACTCGTACAGCTCTCTAGTGTTAGCTGGTGTTAGTATTAGTGTTAATATTAGTATTAATGTTAGTCTTCTTTTGTCTCAACCATTTGGTAGAGCTCAGATTCTGCAACCAATGGGAAGAGTGGGAGAGAGAGGAGTTACAGAGTTTTGTGGACTAAAACTTGCTAAATTCCGCTAAAGACTGCTTCGTTTAATTCTGCTTTATGGAAAACAATTACTTTTCTGGTATCTTACTCATCTAGTATTTTCTGTCAAACCCAATGCAGGTGCAAAAGTACTTCTTGGAAATGAAAAATAAGATGCCTTCCTTATCTCCAATAGACAAAAATTGGCCATCAAGACCTTACCTATTCCTGGATTCTACTCATAAGGAGCTAAAGAGGATTTTCCATTTGTGGAGGGTAAAAAAAATGTTGTTGTTGTTTTTTTTTTGGAGACTTTGTATCATATATTCTAAGTGTTTGAGAGGTATTACATAGAAGTGAATTTCTACCACATTCTACTTCTAGCCTAGAGGAGACTTGTTGGAGGACTTGGGTATTTTGATCAGGGACTGTCCTTGGCTCTCCGTGAGAAATCCTGGAGCAGCAGGTGTGCCCTGGGGGTTTGCTCGTGTCGGGTTGGAAAGGGGCGTCCACGGCTGTGTTCTTTCCCCTTCGGATTCCACTTGCCTTCAAGTGGTTCAGATTTTTGTTTGTTTGTTTTCATCCAAAGGAATGATACTATAAGAAATAGAAATAATAAAATTTGAACATCTTCACATGATGTAGTTAAATCCTATAAATTATGAGTTTAGTTTTGTAAGATTTCTTGAACACATACACAGGCATGCATGTGAACAAACATTTTGATGGACTAGAACTTTAAAGTTCCCTCAAAGACATTAAAATTAAAATTTTCCTCTATCTGAATTGAAGGGAAACTGAAAATCTATTGAATGCTGCCTTATATTTTGGCTCACCTGATTTTATATGAGAGCATAACATGAAATTTAGGTGTTGCCCAGTGTGGTGTACATGGGGTACTTGTGTAGCTGTGACTATTTCAATAACTTAGTTGATACATGAAATGCTAAATTAAATATATACAGGTATCATATATAATAAAATCATTAGATTGAAGGCCTTGTTTTTAGTAAGTGAATGATGGATGGATACACCTTCTGGGAAACCTCTTCCTGCCCAGCAGTGTAGGCTTGTTCCTGACCAGAATCCCATATGGAGGGACCTCATCACTGATTAGTATAATGATTGGTACCAGCACAGGATACGAAACTGGATTCCTAGTTCTGTTTCCTAACTTGGGGGAGTCAATTTGGAGAGATTCACCCTTTCATTGTTCAATGTTTTCAGTCTGACATAGAAACTCTCTTCAGAAAAAATGATGGGGAGCTGCTCATGCCAGGGGTCTGCTCTGCCTCTGCTGTCCCCTGGCTCCGAATCCCACCCTCACCTACCCTGGATGGGGGCGGAGATGGAGAGGGATGTGTGGACAGCAATGTGAGCATTCCTTTGGACAGTTATGTCGGTGGTTCTCAGCCACACCTGTAACAATGTCTCAGTTCATCTGAAAAACCTGGCCCTGCTCCTCCCACCACCGGCCTTTCCCTGCAGTCTCAGAATCCAGGTGAAGAGGTTTCTCAGGTCTCATGTCCACATTGTAAAATGGTAGCGGGGGAGTTGGAGCAGGGTTTTTCAAACTATAGGTCCTAGCATATTTGTGGATTATGTAAATCAACTTAGTAGCCTCTACCAACATTTTAAAACAAAACAGAATAGAAATGAAAAGAATAGGGTACAATGACATATAGAAAGGATGAATGTTGTTCTGTGAAGCTTTTGTGTCAGTTGACTGGATGTGTGTGTGCACATGTGTGCGCTGGTTTGTGCTGTCTGATGTTTTTCTTACGTGAATCTCCATAAAGGAGGGTGACGGCCTCAGGACTGCAGGGTGTCCGGGGACTGACATCGTAGTGGGAGGAAGCGGTCCTGACAGCAGGGCCTGGGCTTGCAGGGTCCGTGTATGTTTTGAAGTGTCCCAAGTTCCGCACTATGAGCAGTGAAACTGACAACGGAAAAATGCGTTTGACCTTTTAAATGACTATTTCATACACATTTACTCTAACTCTTGCTGCTATTAAAGGGGCTTATTAAATGTAAGAATGAGTAATGATTTATTTATATAAGTGATTTCTTTTTCTTTTTTTCACGTCTCACAGTGTAAAAAATACAGGGACCAATTCACAGACCAGCAGAAACTTATTTATGAAGAGAAACTAGAAGCCAGTGAACTCTTCAAAGACAAGAAGGCTTTGTACCCATCCAGGTATGGTGGTTTTGCTTCACTCATAGTCAGTATTTAAAATTTTTCTCATATATTTGTAGGTCTTTCCTAGTAGAGTTTGATTTCAGTAATACATGAGAAATTTTTAATTTTATACATTATTTTATGAGCAGCTGGATATAAAAACCATAAACACTTTGAAGCAATGGCTTCCATTTCTTGGCTTTATTCCATTGGCATTAGCCGAAACACTTCACTAAGTAATTAGAAGTCACTTTTTAAAATAAAAATTGTATAGGCTATTAAGATAAATGTACATTGTAAATTCCTGTTAATTTTTTATTGTTTTCAGAGACTAGCCCAATTTCTGTTGCCCATATACTGTAATCATCATTCCAGTCTTTTTACTTTATTTAATAAATCAGGATCTCCCTTTTAAGATAAATGGAAAGAATGTATCAGTTTTTGAGTCTTGCTTGAGCACTGGTCTGTGGTGGCCTTCGGTCTGCTGACTCACTGGGCATGACTGCAGAGGCCGCGCAGTGCGTTCGGGCCCTTGATCAGAGACATCAAATGCTCAGTAAAAGAAGGAATACCAGTTGCAAGTTTGCCAAGTGAAATTCTTGGTAAAGACTGCTTGTCAAATACTCTTACATCTCCCCCCAAGTTCATCGTTTCCCCCCAGAATTCCTCTCTTTTTCATCTGGTGTTTATTAAAAAAAAATATTTTGTACAATTTCAAGCCAAATCCGTCACAACTTTTTGTTTTTCCCAAAGAATGGCCCAGCAATAAAAATGCATTATATGCTAAGTATATTCACATGTATTACATATGGTACCTTCTCTATGTCTTCGCACATATTTGAAAGCTCTTCCTTTTAAAGGATGAAAAGAACATAAGTTGCCAGACTCATTTGGTTTAAATGTTTTAAATGACACAGCTTCTTTGGTCTGCTGATTTGGCTGCTGGAGGTGGTATGTACTTTCCTAAGTCAAACATAGTGTCTAAATCCAAGGTCATCCTGAGTACCTGCCGTATACAGCGTATTCAGACAGGTACATTGTCTATGTGCTTTCTCTAGCAACTAATTTTAACATTTTAAAAATATTTTTAATATGTAGAGTAACCTTCTTAATTAACATTCCCTGTGGATGACTCTTCAGACACTGGAGGGAGGAAAACGCATTATTGAAGAAACCAATTCAAAGGCTCTTAGCACTTTATATTATTAAAAACACGTTTGAATATGAACAACAACACAAAAAATATTAACTACAAGCCAAGTATTTGGGGAGGTGTTTTATCAGTTTTCTGGGATGGTGGCTCTCACCCCACGGCATTCGGGGGGTGGAATAATTTACCCTCCCCCCACCATGTGAAGTGGAGCCCTGTTGGGTGTCGGCCTTTTCTGTGAAACGCTGACCACCTACACGGATTTTTCTTCCCTGATCCTCCACCCACAACACAAGCATTTTAAAGCTGTATTTGCAAATTGCCAGAACTTCAGAGCTCAAAATGAAACTGCAGGTTTTTTGTTGTGTGTGTGTGTGTGTGTGTGTGTGTGTGTGTGTGTGTGTTTTAAGAAGCTGCCCTGAGACTGCCCCCCTCCCCTAATCTTTAGGTAAATCGGAATCTTAGTGCTGTGTGTCCAGTTATGCCTCTTGTAAGAAGTAGTTTGTTTAAAAGAAAATTGCTCTGATTATGAATGTTTGCTTGGCCACTTCTGTCCATGTAGGGGCATATCTTAGGAGGAGAGGCCTGGATTTTCTTTCATATAGTGCCTCTTTAGAGCCAGAATTACATGGTGATATTATGTGTCCTATAGTTTTCTTCTAAAGTGGTCACTGTGGACCTGTTCTTCCCCAGAAGGCATATTGATTTTCTTCCTTTCAGCAAGAAAATGAAATTTTTCTTTGCATCAGGTGATAGTAACGATGTGTGCTCTTTGCTCCATATTATTTAAAGGCATTAATAAATCCTTGTGGGCAGCTATTAACTTTATATTAATAGATCAGACGGAACTGCCTTTTCCTTCACATGAGGCCCTGCACTTGGGTCTTGGCTGTCATTCATGGGAGTGATGTTTATCTTGATTGTTCCATGTGATTGAGATTTTTATCAAAGTCCTGCCTACCAAATTCCATGATCATATCAAAAATATATTTGAAATAGATGTAAGGTTCTATTTCCAACTTATATTAGGACAGATGAAAGTACAATGTATAAAATATATAAAACAAATTTACTTTTAATGAAACTGTCAGAAACTCTTTGGAAACAACTGACTGTTATCTTTTTCCAGTAGTACTTCCATCTGAAACTGCTACTATTGTGTGGGATTTTTTTTTTTTTTTTTTAGTGTTGGCCAACCATTCCAAGGGGCTTACCTGGAAATCAACAAGAATCCCAAGTATAAGAAACTCAAAGACTCCATTGAAGAAAAGATTATCATTGCTGAAGTTGTAAACAAAATTAACCGTGCAAACGGGAAGGTAAAATTGCTAAACCTGAAGACTTGTAGAAGTGTTTATCACTTGGGACAGCATCTTTAATTTTCTGAATGTTAAAGTTTGCATTTCATATTCTCAGCAGAGTTACTGTGAAGGGAGTTATTTCCCCCTACCTTTAAGGTTAGGAGGAATTTTACTTGTTTTGTGAAACGTTTGTGAATTAAAATATATTACCTATGTTTAATGTGTTCTTGGTTTACATAGGCATGCATGCTGAAGGATATTGGAATGAAAAATGCATTTCTGACAATAACTAATGCTTTAAACTCCTGGACCATTTGGGGTATTTTTGGTCACTGGTTTATTTTTGTTTTGTTTTGTTTTAGAGTACATCCCGGATTTTCCTCTTAACAAATAATAACCTCCTTCTTGCTGATCAAAAGTCTGGACAGATCAAGTCAGAGGTCCCCCTGGTGGATGTCACTAAAGTATCGATGAGCTCACAGAACGATGGCTTCTTTGCCATCCACCTCAAAGAGGTAAAGATGCAACTATTGATTTGAATGAAAGATTTCTACATTTGTCCAGTCTCTCAGCCATCAATTTAAAAATTTCCCAAACTGAACAATCCTATTACTTGAAGATTACATGTTCTTCTTACTGATTTGGAAATTTTGGTTATATTCCCTTCTGTGTAAAATCTCAGGCTTGGTTTTTCAGTAATTGAGTAAGATTAATCACATATGGACTTGTTCACTGGAGTTCCAGTTTCACTGAGCAGCTTTTGTTTGTACCTGCTATGATGTACATTATTTTGAGAATAAATGCATAGGAATATGAAGATGTTTTCAACTGTTTCTTCCCGTTGTTTCATCTACACACCAACCTAGTAAATGTCGTGGTCATCTTTAATCTCGGGCTTTTTAGTAAAGAACACAGCTGCACAGCCAGCTGCCTAATAATTTGGACCCAAAGATTTTTTATGTTCTGTGCTTTTAGCTTATCCAGTAGCTCCTGACTTGAATCTCTTGAGTTAGTCCCACTAACTTTATAATGACTTTGGACAGACCATTTAAATTTCATATACCTACCTTATTTTTCTCCTCTTTAAAATGGGGAGAATAATAGCATGTGTTTCATAGTGTTATTATAAGGATTAAATGTAAAGTGCTGCACATAGTGCTTGTCACCTAGTAAGCAGTCACCGAATAACCATGCCGAGTAGTAATTATATTTATGGACATGTGTCTAGCTAATAGTGCACCCGTCTAGCTGATTCTACACTTAAGAATGTCCCATAAACTTATTCAGCCTGTTTTCTCCACTGTGAATCTTCACCTAAAGGGAGCATATCAGATCCTAAGATTATGATTCAGAACCTCGACCACACACTGAAACAGCGCTGATGCCCAGGTTATGTCCCCAGTTCCACCAAATCCGTTGCTTGGCATGGGGCACACGCATCTGTTTTTCAAAAGCTCTCTAGATGGGTCCCTTGTGCAGCGAAGAGCGAGAGCCACTGCCCTAGGATGTTTGTTGAAATTGTTATTGTTCTTTTTTTTTTTTTTAACCAAATCACAGAGGAGTTTTTAAGCCACTCTTTCAGAGTGAGTTCTAGGTTAGGTCAGTGCTTCTTGATCCTGAGTGTGGAAACATCACCCAGGGAGCTTGTTGTGGGTTCATACCGACTGGCCCTGCAGTGGGGCTCCCAGGTGGTGCTGACGGTGCTTCCGTCCACCGAACAGCTTTGGGTAGTGAGGGTTAGGTGACCTCACTGAAGTCGCTCTGAGCGATGTGAAGATATACTGCTTTTGTAATTACTGTTTATTCGGAGAACGCTCTCCAGTAGCTGATGTTTTAAAGAGACTGTAAATACTTTTTTTAGCCAAACCTGTAAACATTTACCTCCTGAGCTGTCTCTGACTCCTCCTTTGTCCTTGTAGGGCTCCGAGGCAGCCAGCAAAGGAGACTTTCTCTTCAGCAGTGATCACCTGATTGAAATGGCCACCAAGCTCTATCGGACGACTCTCAGCCAGACCAAACAGAAGCTCAATATTGAAATTTCCGATGAGTATGTTCATGAATTTGTTGATATACCTTTTTACTTTCAACTTCCTTGTTTTAGTTAAGCAATCTGAGCAGGTTCATTTATACAACCCCTACTTACTGAGTTCCAAGCATGTGTCTGTCATTTGTTCCAGATGATAGATGGGCAGTGGGTGACCAGGTTTCTGCCTTCATGTACCTGACATCCTAGTGGAAGAGAAAAACATGCACAAATAAAATAATAAATAGGTGACATGACTTTAGTTAGTGGCAAGTGCTTATGGGGCAGGGAAGCAGGTTAAAGGTTAGAGGGTGTTATATTTGATGAGGAGGTCAGGAAGTTCTCTTTTTAGTGACATTTGTGTTGAGACTGGAATCAAGGGAGCAGCCAGGCAACAGTCTAGGGAGATGTCTTCTGGGGCAGGGAGGTAGCAGGGGCAAAGGCCCTGAGACAGGAGCGAACTTGGTGAGAGAGTGAAATGGTTGGAAAAGACCCTGGGGAGAGAGGCAGGGGCCTGGCCATGTGGAGCTTGGTAACTGAGGTAAGGAGTTAAGATGTTACTGAGGATAATGGAAAGCCATTCTAGGTTTTGAGCAAGGGTGAGGCATGATCTGATTTATTGTTTTCGAAGCTTGCGTGGGAGTAACTGTAGGGAACCAGAGTGGAAGCAGATAGGAGCTTCAAGCTGTCTGTGGTTAGGATGATGTGGCTTCTGCTAGGGTGTGAGTGGGAGCTGGTGAGAAATAGTCAGGTTCAGGATGTAGTTTGAAGGGAAATGAGGCCTTATTAACAGATTGGATGTTAGGTTTGGGGCCCAAACCCAAATGGTGATACCATTTACTGCAATAGATGGCGTTGAGGAAAGGGGCTTGGGGTGGCCAGGGTGGGGTGAAATCAAGGGTGCTGTTTTGGGTGTGTTGTACCCTAGATGCCTTTATTTTCACATATTAATAACTAGTACTATGGAACAAACATTTCGTGTTAACAAGAGTTTAGTAGTGCAAACACTGCGTAAATTTGAAATTTGCATTTTTCCCTTTATGTCTCTAAGTATAGAGACATAATTTGCATGCAGATTGGAGCATCCCCCCCAATTGTTATTTTTTTAAATTTCCTTTTATTTATTGAATTTAGAGAGAGAGGAAGGGAGAGGTAGAGAGAGATAGAAACATTGATGAGAGAGAACATCGATTGGCCGCCTTCTGCATGCCCCCCACTGGGGATTTGGCCCACAACCTGGGCATGTGCCCTGACCGGGAATAGAACTGGTGACCTCTTGGTGCATGGGTCAACGCTCAACCACTGAGCCACACCAGCCAGGCACATCCCCCCAATTTTTGAACCTATTGATACAAGATCGTTTGAATTAATTTGAGTTACCATGTTGTTTGATATTTAACTTCTTTTCAGTAGATTGTTTACATTTGCTTATGTACTTTTTTGTATTTATAACAAAATTTTGGGTAATCAGACTGTTCAGGAAATTTTTTAGAGCGAGAGAGAGACATTAATTTGTTGTTCCACTTATTTATGCTTTCATTGGTTGCTTTTTGTATATGCCCTGACCAGGGATGGAACCCACAACCTTGGCGTATCAGGACATCTAATCAACTGAGCCACTTGGCCAGGGTAGATTTTGTTTTCTAATTAAGATTTTGCCTGCCTATTCTATTTCAACTCTTTCTAAAATAAATTCTCACCCATTCCTACCCCTTTGTAAGTCAGATATACTCTCCTAGATGTGTTAGGATTTACAGAACCTTCGTTCATTGTCTATTTTCATTCTGCTCTAGGAATGGTATTTACATTGGGTGGGAGATTAGCTTTTATGTGTACTCTATGTGAGAAATAATTGCAGTTTGGACAAAATATTCTTATTTTTGAGTCCTTTCTCTTAAAACAAAGAATAGTAGGAAAAAAGATAATGGCTAGTTGGGTTCTAGTTAATTATAGTTTTAACCTGATAGAGCCTGTTAGAGCTTTAAACTCCCTTTAGTTGAGATGTTTTGTGACTGGGGGTGCTGGGCTTCTATTTTGATAGGAATGCTCAATCCCACTGTCATGGAAGAGTGTGTGTATTCCCCTCGCAGAGCTCCTCCGTGTGGGGATGAAGCAGACTATATTTACAGAGAAAACCACACCAACAACCTGGCCACAAAGGATGGCTACTTTTTAGTGTTTCCCAAACTGGTATTCTAGGAACTCTGCCTTAGTAAGATGTTAATAACGAAGAAAGTGTTCTCTGGTGCAAATGTCCAGTCTTTCTTTTTTTTTTTTTCTTTTTTCTTTTTTTATCCTCACCCGAGGACATTTTTCAATATTTTGTTCAGATAGAGTGGGAGGGAGGGAGGGAGGGAGGGAGGGAGGGAGGGAGGAAGGGAGGGAGGGAGGGAGGGGGAGAGAGAGAAAGAGAGAGAGAGAGAGAGAGAGAGAGAGAAACATCGATGTGAAAGGGACACATCGAGTGGTCACCACCCACACGACCCAACCAGGGCTTGGGACAAACTGCAACTGAGGTACGTGCCCTTAGTGGGAACCGAACCTGGGTCTCTCTGGACCGCAGGCCAATGCTCTAACCGCTAGCCAAACCGGCCCGGGCTGTCCAGTCTTTCTTTACTGGGCCCATCTCGGAGCCCCTGAAGCCCGCTGCGCCCTATGTTCTCCTGAGGGGCGTGGGAGGAGAGTGTGTTTCTCAAATGCAACCAGCCACAGAACCCTGCGTGGCTCTCCCAGTCAGTGTGTGAGACGCATGGCCACAGAACACTGGTGGGGATGGTTTGCTAATGGGTGTCAGGAACCTGTCTTGTCCCAGAGCGGGTGATGTTCTGGATGTGTACGCGTGAGTAAACATTTTTGTCTGAGTGAAGATTTGCAGTGTGGCCACGTGAAGAAAACAAACATTTAGTAGCATTATAGACCAGCCCGTAACACCGTTCCTTCTCCGATTTCTGATTGTTGGCTGGTCTTGTACACAGAAAACAGCTGCTGGAACTGTGCACAGCCTCGTGGTCCCCTGCCCGGGCAGCACAGCCGCCTGGCAGAACACGGGTCCCTTGTAGCCTCTGCTCCACAACCTCTGGGAGCTCCTAAGCAGGGATTATATAATCTTTCTGGAAGGCATTTTAAATTTAAACAAAATTTTATAAAGCCATGGGCCAGGGTGCCCGTGGTGTATTTTTCCAGCCTTAAAGGGCTTGATTCATTTTCTTGCCAGCTGTGCTGACTAGTTATAAACTGCAGGTAGTTCAGTGACCAAAACCTTCCTCGGTGTAGCCTTGAAGAAACAGAAGTCAGTATTCTAACAAACCCAGTCTCCATAATCATTATGGATAAACTGGATGTCAGGTTACAGGAGCAGAGGCAAAGTCCTGTTCACTCCTTTGAGTGGTGTTAACATGCACGCGTAGAGCCAGGATTGAATTCACTGACAGACTCAGCTGCTTTGTAATCTCCGGTTCTTAAACTCCTAGACTGATGAAACTGTAAATGGTTGCATTTTAAAGACCTTAAATAAGAGGTATTGTATTTCTAAAAATGGGATTCTGAGTATATTGAAAACGAAAGTGAATTTGTTCCATTAAATATGTTAAATATACCTGTAGACATACTAGTATATGTATACACACGTGTACACAGTGTATACACACATGCACGCAATGTATATATCATTTAAGTTATACATTTGTTTTTCTGAATATTTTAAACCCAAACAACTAATCTACATTCCTTTTGCTATGAAGTTCTAACTGGTACTCATGCTGTGAAATAGCTCATTTGACACTATTGTTTGCTGGAGGAAGATGCTTTGATTATCTGTGTCCTTAACTGTGGGCCATGCTTCAGTTTTCTATGAGATAGAAGTAAATAATAGTGCTTACCTCATAGGATTATTTTAAAGTTGTACTGTGTATAACTTACTAGGAACTGTTTGGTGCATGGTAAATACTCAATAAATTTTAGTTATGTTATTTCTAGGCTGAATCCTGATCATGGATTATGAATATAGAGACAGCTACATGCTAAAGTTATTGATAAAAGAACTCCTTATATACTTATTATACTGCAAGAGGTCTTTGAAAATTTAAATGTCAAAATATTTGATTAAAAAAAAGTTATTTTTCTTTATTAATTTTAGAGAGAAAGGAAAGGAGAGAGAGATAGAAACACTGAGGGGAGAGAACATCGACTGGCCGCCTCCTGCATGCCCTTCACTGGGGATTTGGCCCACAACCTGGACATGTGCCCTGACCAAGAATCAAACCGGTGACCTCTTGGTGCATGGGTCGACGCTTAATCACTGAGCCACACCAGCAGGGCAATATTTGATTTTTTAAGCGTGTGTATTTGTGTTAAGCGTGAAGGATGTTTTTTCTTTGATGCACATAGATAAAAACAGACATGCCGGGGAAATATCTCAGATGGGTGAATTTGGAGCTTATAGCTTTTTTCAGTAGGTGAATAACCAAAGTTTAGAAACCATAGCCTTTAGGCACTCCAGACCCTTTCTTTTTCTTTATTTCATTTTTGCAATGTATTGATCATTTAATAGGACCCCTCCCCCCAGCTGGAAAAAAACAGCCCATTTAAAAACTCAGAAATACGATCCTTTTAAAACAACTGATGAATCAGAAGCTTACGTGTCACATTTTACATCAGTAGATGTTTGCAGAACGTGGGCTATTTAGACCTTGAACTGAGACTAATGTGTACAGAGCAGAGCTGTTTCCATCTTCGCTGTTGTCATGGATGCCAGTGAGCTTGTGATGTCACACGGTTATTAGAGTAACTCAGAAAACTGTTCCCTGAGAAGCATACCGAAAACGTGGTGACATGATGCCGATTGTCACGGTGGGGAGAAAAGAGCGCTGGCTTTGCGTGGGGACGGCCAGGTTCTGGTCCAGCCTGCTGCTCTCCGGCGTCCGCAGTGATGCCCTCCTGAGAGCAGGGACTGCGTGTTACACAGCTGGTGTCCCCCAGCACCCTGCCCTGGGAAGCCAGCGGTCTGTGTGCTGTAGGAAGGTGTGACAGATAAGCTTGTGGACAGGCACTTGACCCTTGATGATCTGTGAAAGGGAAGATTTGGACTGGAATATTGTTTCTTACCGATTGCCACATGTACTCCTGGTAGGATAAGAAGTGGCTTTCAGGGTACACTGATGGACTTTTAAATTTTTTATTATTTACATACCTTTGAAAGCGATATTAAAAATATAAGTGGCACATCAAACTCGTGATTGTATTATTATTATTCTGTAGGACACCACTATTTTGAAACACATATATTTAGGCTAGAAATAACTGTTAGCATAATGTATAGATATGACAAAAATCATGCCGGTAATAGGTGAATAACCAAAGTTTAGAAACCATAGCCGGTAGGCACTCCAGACCCTTTCTTTTTCTTCATTTTATTTTTGTAATGTGTTAATCGTTTAAGAGGACCCTTCCTCCCAAGTTTATATTTTGCTATGCAAAAATGGAGAAAAATGGAAAAAAAGCAAGTTGGTGTTTCCATTCGAAAGGTGGAATGTGATGCTTTAATGAAGGTCTGTTTACTTGGGGCTAAATGATGACTGCTGGAAGCTAGGCAGTGTAATTAATACCTGATGATAGAATCCAGGTATAGAGTGCTCCTGGGAAGGGGAGCACTTGTCAAGATCCGTACCCATTCAAGAGCAAACGCTAGTGGTTGAGGAACCAGCAGCGATGTTGCGTGGACTTTAATTTGTCTTTCTTTTCTCTCAGGTTCCTGGTGCAATTCAGACAGGACAAAGTATGTGTGAAGTTTATTCAGGGCAACCAGAAAAATGGGAGTGTCCCAACGTGCAAGCGAAAAAACAACCGTCTCCTTGAAGTCGCTGTTCCTTAACTGGTGCCTCCCTCCTCTCTGCTTTCATGGACTTGTTTCTTTGTAATAGTGCAATTTGGTTTGGTTTGGTTCGGAGTTCATTGTATGTTTGGGAACTGTCAAAGGCTAATACCATTAGAATCCCTTGGCAAAATAAAAATATTTGACTAATCAGTTTTTATTATTGGAATAGTTTTAACCCTTAAAGTACACATTCTGTGTACAACCCTGGGACAGGATTGTAGAAACTAACAGTGTCCATGCCCCGTCATATGTGTTCTTTGTTTAGTCGTGTTAGATCTGTGTACCTTAAATCAACATATTACTCATAAATCATTAATACATCTAAGTATAGGAAACAGTCTTAAAAGATAGTGTATTCATTCATCAAATATTTATTGAATGCCTACTCAGTTCTAGGCTCTGTGCTAGATGTTATGAAAAGTTTTTAGGAACTTTTTTGTTTGTTTTAAGGTCGTTGCATTCTGGCTGGTTTGTGCTGGCTTTATTGGGGCTGAGAGAGTTTTGTTGAGACCAAAACAGTAATTGTTGATGGACAGTGTGATTCGGGATCCTGTAGTGTGACTTTAACAATATGTACTTCAAGAAGGGCTGGTCCTAGGAAGTAGAAATGTATGACTGGGTAAAATGCCTCTACATGTGATTTCTATTTGAAAAGAGAAAATTGACATTTGAATAGGACTTTTCATTTGTTTAGATCTCTTGTAATTGCTTAGAAAAGAGAGTCATTCTTATTTTAGCAAAAATGACAGAAGCAGTCCAGTAAGATTATATTTTCTGTTTCTGGTAGACATCACGTATGATCCTACATATGCAAACATCTGCAGAGTGTTTTCACACACATCTGAGTCAATACTTTAAACAGCTGAGACAGTGTAAGACTGAAAGCCTTTCAGATAGTGGCAAAATTCTGTATGATGTGCAATAAACATCCAAGATCTTTTTTGAAAGTTTTATTTATAATATACATTTTGTATGAGAGAAGTGATTGGTACAGGGTGCATATTTTAACTAAGGATCAAAATTGTGTTAATTTGCAGAACATTTTTTGTTTTCAAATTTAAAGTAAGGATTCATTTTGGAAGCTACATTTTAAACTTTGGAATCAAATTGTTTCTTATTTGGAGAATAATGTATATACAATGGTATGTTAAATAATAAAACTGTTCTAATTTGGTGCCATTTCCTGGATCACAACTGTATTTTTGTATCTCAAGCTATTTTTCTATGTTGTGTGTTACTATATTGTCGCACAGAAAGGCTTTGCAATCCAAACATTTTATGTTCTCTGTGTAATTGAATTTCATTTATCTTTTATAAACCAGAAACATTCATTGAAAGTATTTTCTGGGGAATTTTCTTTTCATTTTTGTACTTAAAAATATTGCTTCCATAAGAAATTCTCAGAAGACTTTGTGTCCATTGGTGCCGATAGAGGAAACAATTACTTCCCTTCAGTCTTCTCCAGCGTGTCCCTAAAGTTGTAGATTGATGATTCCTGAAATAGGTGAGTAGAAATTTGGAACTGAGAGGTGTTTTTTATTTTTTACTTTATTTTACTATTCTATTGAATCTATTGGGGTGACATGGGTTAATACAATTATATAGATTTCAGGTGTACAATTCTTTAACACATCACCTGCATATTGCGTTGTGTGTTCATCACCCCAAGTCAAAACTCCTTTCGTCCTCTTACCCCTGCTTTGCCTCTTCCACTCCCCCCACCGCCCTTTTCCCCGGAAATCACTGTACTGTTGTCTTTGTCTGTGGGTATTTTTTGCTTAATTTCTTCACCTTTTCAACCCAGCCCCCCAAGCATCTCCCCCTCCAACAGCTGTCATTCTGTTCTCTATGTCTTTTTTTATTTTGTTAGTTTATTTTGTGCATTAGATTTTACATTTTGAAAATATATTGTATAAAAATATTTCATACTTCGCCCTGGCCGAGTAGCCCAGTTGGTTAGAGTATCATCCTGATAACTCCAAGGTTGCAGGTTTGATCCCTGATCAGGGTATATACAAGAATTAACCAATAAACTAATCAATAAGTGGAACAACAAATCGGTGTTTCTTTCTCTCTCTCTTTTTCCTCTATCTAAAAATCAATAAGCAAAATTTTTTTTAAAAAATCAGTCTTTAAAAAAATATATTTAATACATTCACATTGTCCAAAATGTAAATAAATATAAAAAGATATTTAGTACAAATTCTTCATCATCAGTCACCCATCTGCTCAGTTCCCATGTCCCCCCAAAAGTTAACCATTATTTTTAGTTGCTTTTGCATTACTTGATTCATATGCTTACAAGAGGCAATAAAAATATCTCGGATTCTTTTTGTTATTGTGGTTAAGCCTCACTCGAGGATATTTTTCCATTGATTTTTAGAGCGAGTAGAAGGGAGGGGAGAAGAGAGAGAGAAACATTGATGTGAGAGAGAGACGCATCGATTGGTTGCCTTCTGCACAACCCCAACTGAGGCCGGGGATCAAACCTGCAACCCAGGAACATGTTCTTGACTGGAATCGAACCCAAGACCCTTCAGACCTTGGGCCAGTGCTCTAACCACTAAGCCAAACCAGCCAGGGAAAAAAATATAGATTCTTATCTTCCTTCTATTTAGTAGACAAAAGCTATCGTAGGCATCGGTCTTTACTTGGCCTTTGTCACTGCTTAGGGGCATAGTCTTCTGCTGTATGATGCACCAGAATGTGTTTATCCACCCCTGCTGGTCATCATTGGGTTGTGTCCTGAATGGAATTTCAGTCCAGGGTGGAGAGGAACAATATTCCAGGAATCTACTTGTTAAATTTCCCAAATACTTTATTTGCAGATTGTGCATTATGATGATTAGCAATAATAGCAGTTACAATAATATATTTTCCAAAGTTTATTTCCAATAGAGAAACCATTTTATCTCAAACTTTGTGGTAAGTGTTCTGCAAGGATTTAAAAATATCTTTATAAATTAGTTTTAAGTGATAGTATTTTTGAATATCTATACATCACTGAAGTATTCAACAATTTCTGGTCATGAAATTCGTGCTAGGTGGCTTGTGACTAGACTTGGCAGAAAAGGTTTTCTGAACTTTAGCCAGAAAGCTTCCTTATGTATCGGTGAAATTTGCCTCCATAGAGTTCCCTTCAACTAAGCGAGCCAGTGAGGGAGGGCATCCTTAATACAGTTGGAAGTGAGAGTTCTTAGTGTTTCAAATGTAGGTAGTGATGCCTCCTTTTCCATAGGGAGCAAGCTAACAATTAAGGAAAATGTAGCTACTGAGAGCAATTATTTAGAGATTTTCAGCTTAGAAATAGAATATTAAAACCTGGTTTTCAGTCCCAAGGCTCGAGTTGACTGCCTTTTAGTGGAACATAAATCATTATTTTGTTGGAAGCCCTTTGCATTCACCATTGGGGAAAGCAGTGCTAAGTTGGCCTCACTGGAAACGAGAGAACCACCCACTCCAGGGATGCACTGTAAGGGCAGTGTTTCTTGAAAGGTCACCATGGCAGCCTGGGTCAGAATCACAAAACTTGCTTTAACAAAACCAAAAAGCATACAGATTCCTGGGCTTTGCTCCTTCCCAACTGAATCAGAATATTCAGAATAGAGTTTGATAATAGACACTTTTAAGAAACTGTCCAGGTGACAGGCATGTTCAAGTTTGAGAACCACCAAGAAACACACTAGAACTTCTCTGCAGATGCATACAGCCACCTGCCTTCACAAGTCTAGGAGGTGATTCTGATGCATACCCAAGTGGACACCACAGCCCTCCAGCCTCCCAGGAGCTGCTCATGGCACTTCCGCTGGACTGCCAATGCTTCCCACCCACCCACAGGGCCTGCCTGGAAGGTACTGATACACTGTAGCATTGCGCTGTTATACTGGTGAGCAACCGGTACTGCCTCATCTTTGAACTTCTGTCCCTGCCCTGCAATGTAGAATTAAAAGTATTGGTGGCACTGCAGATTTTCTATGTACCGGGCCTGGCCACATAGACCTAACTTGTTCACAACCGCCACTTAGTTGCCCCACCCCTGGAGTGACTTGTAGGTCTACACTAATATGTATTTGAACAAAGTAACTAGGTAGTGAGTGCCAAAAAGCAGACCATGGTAGTTGCCAAGTTTGCTGTTACTCTTGACTTTGACTTCCATGTACCACAGACAAGAAAGGAACATGGACAAGGTACTCTAATGGACTGGTTACAGTTTTGCATTTCACACTCTTGGAATAATAGCTTGGACCCAATACTCAAATGTAAGACCTCCTCCAGCTCAAGTTTGAATACCTTTGTTGATACCCCAAGAGGTACGGGATATGTCTGTAATGGCAAAGCACCAGGGCCAAGAATTACGAGTCATGGGCACAATCCTCAATATTGAGGATTTGGCTAAAATCTAAGAGAATAAATGGCTTTATTCTCATGCCATTTGAATTAATAGGCTCAGAGGGAACTCTCAAGTTCATGTAATTGAGTGTAATTATGATAAATAGAATAAAGTGATTTTAGACTAAATATAATAGACAACATTTAGGGTTTTTTTAATATGCATTTTTTCATGTAGTAGGTAAGGCATTTAGGTTCTAAGATGCTCAAATAACAAGCCCTCTAAAATGGTGTATGTTACTAGGGAAGGAGTTGGTGAATTTCTTAATGTGTCTATTACCTTTTCTCTGGAAGGCATTGGAGTAAGCCCTCTTTTTCAGCTGAGCATTGTTTCTCCATTATCCTGCAATATCGGGGCTCACTCAACGAGGTGAAGCAGGGTGGAAGGGAAGAAACACAGCAGAGTTGCTCTCCCTGTTGAGAAAAACAGCTGTGAGTTCTCATTGTCCATTGGACGGTTTCATGTCAAGGAGCTAATCCATTATCATTGGAGGGGTTCTTTCTTTGGATCTCATTTGGACAATCCCATTGTGTGCTCTTTCATTCCCCGCTTTCGGTTGGCTGAGCATTGGTGAGCCATGGCCTTGACGAGCTGGGCACCTGCCTTCTGGTCTCATCGGCTTCTATTCTAATAGCCACTCATTGGAAAATTAATTGTTTTTGAGTTGGTGTCCTCCTGATCTTGACATTGTTTGCCTCATTCTCTTTGGTTTGGAGATCATTTTCAAAGTCTGGAGTTAATTATAGTACAGCATAAGCCACAATCCCTTCTCATTAATTTTTTTTATTGCTGACACGATGACCAGATCCCCTCTGCTCAGTTCCATAAAATTCAACAAAAATCTAACTGTGTAACCAAGGAAAATAATCTCAGCTTCCCAGCATTTAAGGAGGAAACTGGGAACGGAATTTAATTCCATATTTACCCAAAGGCCTTGCAGTACTGAGAGAAAGAAACAGATCAGCCAGCCACCTTATCACTGTACTTATTTTTTAATGTTTTTTTGGTTCAGGTTTGAGATATAATTGGCATATAACATTGTATTAGTTTTGGGTGTGCAATATAATGATTTATATATGTATTATGAAATGATTACGATAAGTAGTTATTATCTATCACCTCGCATAATTACAATTATTTTCTTGTAATGAGAACTTTTAAGATTATTCTCTTAGATCACTTATTTTATATTCCCCCCCAACTTTCGTTTTTTCTTTTCATTTTCCTGTTCTTTCTTCCTTCCATCCATCTTTCTGTCCTTTTCTCTTACTAATTAACGGATCTGGCATATTCTCCTTTAAAATTTTTTTTAACTTTATTTTTATAGTTGACACTACTACAAATGTCCCATCCCCCTCTCCACCCAGCCCTTCCCCCACTTCCCTCTGGCCATCACCCTACTGTTGTCTGTACATAGATTTTATATAGTTTGGCTAATTCCTTCTCCTTCTTTCATCCAGTGCCCCCTTCCCTGTCCCCTCTGACATCTGTTGGTCTGTTCTATGCATCAGTGCCGCTGTTTCTATTTTGTTCATCAGTTATTTTGTTCAGTATTTTTTTCAACAACATACACATCAGAAATGTACCTATCAAAAGATTCTTACAAAGTGAACACATCTGTGTAACTAGCACCCAAAACAAGAAACACCCCAAAGATAGCACCCAGAAGCCCCTTTCTCCATCCCAGTCATAATCAACCACAAAATTAACTTTTATTTTCTAGTACTATATATTCATTTTGCCCCCCCCTTTTTTACTTCATTTAATGTTATATATAATAGAATCATACAGTACATACTCTTAATAGCCTCTTTCATTCAGCATTACGATTGCAAAATTTATTCATATTATTGCAGGTGGTTACAGTTTGTTCTGGCTGTATAGTAATTCGCCTGTGGATAGACTATAATTTTGTAGCCCATTTTAATGCTGATGGGCATTTGG